TTTTTTTTTTTTTTTTTTTTTAAAGATTTTTATTTATTTTGAGAGAGTGAGAGAGAGAGAGTACATGAGAACGGGGAGGGTTATAGGGAGAAGCAGGCTCCTCACTGAGCAGGGAGCCCAATGCGGGACTCGATCCCGGGACTCCAGGATCATGACCTAAGCCAAAGGCAGTTGCTTAACCAACTGAGCCACCCAGGCGCCCCTAACTCTGTTTTTCTGATTCGCATTTTATTTGTAAATGAGGGAATGAGTGAGGTTTTCTTGTAGTGCTACAAAAATGTTTACCATAGAATCTTTTATTCAGCTTACTTGACATGCAAACCTATTTACATATAAGGTTGAGGTAATCTGGAGTTTTCTCTGCTCTTGACAATTTTTTTTTAAGATTTTTTTTTTTTAATTCATTAGAGACAGAGCACAAGTGAAAACATGAACGGGTGGGAGGGGCAGAGGGAGAGGGAGAAGCAGACTCTCTGCTGAGCTGGGTGCCCAGTGTGGGACTCGATCCCAGGACCCCAGGATCATGACCTGAACTGAAGGCAGACGCTTAACCCACTGAGCCACCCAGGTGCCCTTGACAAGTTTTTTTTGGACCACATTTTGCTGATTAAAATATTGACACCATTATAATCATAAAAATAGTTCTTATTGTCACTGGCTCAGCGGAGATGGCAGTGGTGGTGAGAGTGGAGTGAGCTAATGAGAAGGGACGTGGACACAACATGACCCCTGTGACACTGTCTGTGGGGTGGGGAAGGGTACCAAGGCTGATCCTGAGCCTGATGCTACACTTTCAATTTCTGCTTTAAAAAGTTAAAGCCATCCGGGGGCATGTGGGTGGCTCAGGTGGTTAAGTGTCCAACTCTTGATCTCAGCTCAGGTCTTGATCTCAGGGTCGTAAGTTCAGGCCCCAAATTGGGCTCCGCGCTGGGCATGGAGCCTACTTAAAAACAATAACAAAACTTCATTTAAAAAAAAAAAAATTTAAAGCCGTTCACATAGCCAGTGATCCTTTCATGGGTTGAGTCCTAATGAATGAGGAGGTAATTAAATTTGTAAGTATAATATTGTTAATATGTAAACATTGCTCATCTTAACGTGAAAGTTATCTTTTGATCATATTTTATACAACAATTTAGGCACATATATTAATATTTTTAGGAAAGTTTGGCCTTTTAATTTTGATTTTTTTTGAAGTATTAAAATTAATATACAGAGTAGTTTTTATACCTAGCTAAAGAAACTGTACAAGTTAGGGCCATAGTATTTATAATTAAACTGTAAAAACATTTTGACAAGGTTTCAAATGTCTGCCAGTAGGAAATAAAACAAAAGCAGCAAAAATAGGAAGACGACTTTCACTTGAGATCCACTGACTGAAGGTTTTAAAATATTGCATGAGGCTTTTAAATAATTTTAAGAATCTACTGCATATAGTTTGAAAGATTTTTGTCCACTGCAGTGTAAATTTTAAAATATTAAAGAAGGGAGGGCAGTGTTGGGAAATAATATATCCTGGATAATTTCCTATCAGAAATTGCTTTCTTATGTCAGGGAATGGGAAATTTGAAGCAGTCTTTCTGGTTAATACCCTTAGGAATATTATTATATATTAGCATATGTACTTTATTAACACTTGTGTACTATTGTTTGACACATTGGTTAACCTAGAAGTATATGAATACTCTTAAATGCTTCATTTTCTCTAATAGATTTATAGGTACTGGCATCAAAGTGTCCTATGAACAAAGACAAAGATCAGCTTCCCGATATTTTAGTACTGACATGTCCATTGGGCAAATGGAACTTTTGGAATGCCTGTTTCCAACTGATTCTCATTCTGTTCCTCCTCACTACACAGAGGTAAATGCTAGATACTTTGTCTTTAGGATCATTCTTTAAATCTACCTTGCTTTTAAAGAGTTGTATTAATAGCAATGATTTTATTAAAAAAAATATAGGAAGCCATTAGAGGAAGTGTGCATGTGTACGCATTTGTATTTCGTTGAAACATTTTAAAGTATGGCTTTCAAGGTCATTGTAAGAGTCTGTTAGAATTTTTTAGAGTTGACTTGTTTTAGAGCGGCAGACAGATTATGGGACAGATGACTTTATTTCCCTAATTTTCCAAGCACTATTAATTTCAGAAGTCTGTAAAACAAATACTGAATACCTGCAGTGTGCTAGTAAGCACTGTTCAAGACAAGCACAGTGTCTTTTGTTTATTTATTATTAGTCTGTTTTTTTTTCCAATTCTAAAAGTGTGTGCTAGAGAAACTTTTCAAAGTTATCAAGATAACATTTATTGCTGTTACTTTGCCTTGTACATTATTTTATTTTATTTTCAAAGTACTTTCTTGGGCGTTAATTCACTTGAATTCTCATGTACATTCTGCAGATGAGATACTAAGTATCACAGAAACTTGTCTTAAGATTTACATTGCTTGTGAATGACCAAAATGAAATGTAAAATGAGCTTTCCTGATTTAAAAAAATTCTTTCCACCACTAGTACCTCTGTTAATTCATGGGATGAATTATAGTTTAATATCTTACATTTATTTTTGTCTTTGTAAGCTTTTAATGTTCCATCCCAAAGAACGAACTGATTCCCATCTCCCTGTGTGTCTTCAGCTTCATTATAAGCATTCTGAGAATAAAGGACCCCAGGTAAGAAGCCTTATTGTGTGATACCACCTATAAATTTTCATTTGATATGTATTTTCTCAAAATCATACAGTTTCTACTAAATTTTGTAGTAATGTTAGTGATCATATTAATGTTTTCCCTTTTATTTTTTTAAAGGGTAATCAAGCAAGACTTAGTTCTGTTCCTCAGAAGGCAGAATTGCAAATTAAGTTAAATCCTGTGTTTTGTGAGCTGGATATCAGTATTGTGGACAGGTTAAATTCTTTGCTTCAACCACAAAAGCTTACTACGGTAGAAATGATGGCATCGCACATGTATACTTCATACAATAAACATACTAGTCTGGTAAGTATTCAGAACATTACAAATACTAATCCCAATTATAACTAGCTAATGGGCTTATTGGGATCATTTCTGAGCTTAAGTATTCTTAATGGATTAAATAGCATATAGTATTAAAACAGCATTATTCATAATGAAAAGATGGAGACTTTTACGTCGAGATGGTAGGCTAGCTGAATAATGTTTGCTAATATATTGAGTGAAATTTTATGTGGCCATTTTGAATGATGGTTGTAAAGATGGTGTAGCTACATGAAGAAAGCTCATGAAGGAGTATTAAGAGAAAAAGTGAAACATATTATTCCACAGAAACTTTTATCACAACTGTGTAAATAAAATTGAGGTATAGAGAAAGAATGGATAGAAATATACCAGTTGGTAGCACTGATTATGTTAGAGTGTAGAATTAGATTTCCTTTCCCTCTCTGTGTTTATTTGAATTTTATAAGTTGCGATTATAATACCTGCAGAAAATTTATTCACACATTTAGTAAACTACCTGATCTACCTATAAAATGTAGCCCATATATTGTAAGGTACACTTTTGAAAGTGGGAACATAATTTATAGCATTGAGTTATTGAGCATCACATTAGGTCACTTAGATCTGTCTGATGCATGGTGTCTTTTCTAAGCAGTTCAAGTAAGTCATTTTTGCAAGAAATCTGTTAGGAATCTTGGGCTGGAACTGGAGGGCTCTCGGACCAGGAACAGATACAGACAACTTTGGTTAAAAGAAAAGGGAGGTGTTTTTCTACTTGTTTCTCCCTTAATTAGTGGTGGGTATTCACATTAAATCAGCATTTTTTATTTATTGTTGTCACCAATTACTAGTTATTTTAAGTTCTGTGGGGCTAGCGTGCATATTTGCTGTTAGCCATAGATGTGCTGGGATGATGGTTAATCTCTTGGGTTATTTTTGCTGAGAGTGGGGGTTAGTGTTACAAAGTCCAAGAGGGGGGAGAGAGAGAATAGGTGTGCTAAAAATCCCACTGCAGGGTAAGAAAGGAACTCCCTAATCCAGGAGGTTAGACACTGATTCATGAAGTGGAGTGTTATCACCTGCAGTGTACTCTGGGCTAAAGCTTTAGAAGCTTCAGTACATTTTAGAAAAACAAAAAACAAACAGAAATAGACTTTTATCTGAAGGGCATGTTCTTTTTTTTTTAAGATTTTATTTATTTATTTGACAGAGACACAGCGAGAGAGGGAACACAAGCAGGGGGAGTGGGAGAGGGAGAAGCAGGCTTCCCGCTTGAGCAGGGAGCCTGGGTTTGATGTGGGCTCGATCCCAGGACTCTGGGATCATGACCTGAGCTGAAGGCAGACGCTTAAGGACTGAGCCACCCAGGTGCCCCTGCAGGGCATGTTCTTTGACCTTTTTGCTGTAACATGGCTTTGAGTAGAGGGTGCATATGTGTCTTGGTTTCTAAGGGCCGTTTGATGGACTCATACCCTTGGGTTGGATGGGAGCTCAGAGTGAGTCATTTGGTGAATATTTAGAACTTAGACTGTGTCAGGCTCTAGGCTTAGTCCTGGAAATACAAAGTTAAGTCAGGGATGGGTCCTTGCATTTGGCATGATCTTATTTCACATCAAGTCTTTAAAGGAGCATGTTGGTAGATAAATCCTTCAAATTGAATGTTGAGTTGATTTTTAACTGTATTGGATTTATTGATAACCTAATTTAATGCTGTTGTTTTTTAGTCTTTAGTAATATGTGTATACATCTATAGCACCTGTGTCTTCACTTTGGTTTGGTTTTTATTTTGACTGATTGATTTTGACTTAATTTGGTTTAACTTTTGCCAGTTATTTGAAGTTTGATCAGTAACTATTACATTATAGAATTTCATTACACTAAATTAATATGGTAGTAGTTAATTTGAATTGTATTTTAATTCATTGTACTGAATGAGGAAATAGTGATTATGCATATTGTAATGTTGAATATTAATGTCATTTATGTTTACCTAATTTGATGTTTTGACATATTTTTGATATTTTGTGTTATAGCACAAGGCTTTCACTGAAGTATTTCTGGATGATTCACATAATCCTGCAAATTGTCGGGTATCAGTACAAGTGGCCACACCAGCGTTAAACCTTTCTGTTCGCTTCCCAATACCTGATCTTCGGTCAGATCAAGAAAGAGGACCATGGTTTAAGAAGTCACTTCAAAAGGAGATCCTTCATTTAGCATTCACAGACCTAGAATTTAAGACTGAATTTATAGGAGGATCAACCCCAGAACAAATGAAATTGGAACTTACCTTTAGAGAATTAGTTGGTAAGATTGAACATGCCTGTAAGAGCCAGAGCAGAAACAAACAATACTACTCAGGCAAACATCATGAAAAAGTATATGGCAGCCCCCAATATAGACAGTGTTAGAAAGCAAGAGTAATGACTTTTTCCCAATATTGTATACCAATATGTGATAGAATTGATTTTTTTTTTAAATTACTAAGCATGATTATTCACTTTATTAAAATACTTTGCAAGGAGTATAGTGCTGTAGCTTACTTTTTTTTAAAGATTTTATTTGAGAGGGAGAGGGAGGGAAGGAGAGAGAGAGAGAATGAGAGAGAGAGCACCAGCAGGAAGAGGAACAGGGAGAAGCAGGCTTCCTGCTGAGCAGGGAGCCCAATGCGGGGCTCGATCCCAGAATCCTGAGATCATGACCTGAGCCGACCAGACGCTCCTTTAACTTACATTTTTATTGCCACCTGACTACTTACTTTTTGTAGGGCTGAAAGTAAATTTCTTAAGTGCCACTCTGTGTTAGGTACTGTACTAAGCACTTCACACGTTACTGCTTTCCTTTCATCGTCATGGTTATGGTAGGCTTATTATTTCCAATTATTTTTTATCATTTATAAGTGAGGAATCCATAGACTTAAGAAGAGGTACCTTCCAAGACCGTGTGGTAGTAAATGGCAGAATCAAGCTTCCAACCGAAGTCTCACACTTGAGCTTTCAATCATCATACTAATCTTTGGTGACTTTCCTTTGTAAAACCTATTGACAGTTTTTCTGTATTTGCTTTTGTCATCTAACAGAATATGTATTGACTTAGGGTGAACCGGGTGTATGAGGACCTCTGGAAGATTCTGACGTTTTATTCTGTGGTTCATAAACAACCTGCCTCTGCCACTTCACCCCCTCTAACCACACCCTCCCCATGCCACCATATCCTGCTCCTCCATCTCAGGGAATAGGCTGCAAAATTTTTTCCCCTTGTTCGGAGTTTTACACATCTTTAGAGAGATTTACAATTGACTTGCTGATTATGACTTCATGAAAGGGCCTTTAGGGGTTGTCTGATCGTCTCTTATCTACAGTGGGAAGAAACTCATTTTTCTGGAGGAAAGTCTTTCTTTGTAAAATGGACTGAAAAAGCATGCATAGGATTATTGTGAATGGAAGTAATTCTTACAGTGCTTGGTACAAAACATTTAAGAAATATACTTATTAATAATGTTCCTAGATTAACTGCATAAACTTTTATGTAGAATAAGCATTCAGTGGCAGTAAGTGGCAACTGCCAAATTTATGTCATGATTATGTACCTGACACATTACACTTGGTACCTAAGAATTTGAGTTTGAACGGAAAACATCATCATTATCTGCTCCTCCTGTCTCCCCACATGTATCCATGAAATAGGAACAAAAGAATGAGTGCTGTGCAACTTAATGTTGCACTATGTCCCTGATTTAGGAGATCTTTGCTTATGTTAGGAGGAAACTACCTTTTCTTTCAGCACTTGCGAAGAAATGCATTTTAGTTACTCAGTCTTGTTTTATTAGGGTCGTTCCAGGAAGATAAAGGAGAACCATCTATTAAGTTTTTCCATGTGTCTAGCGGAGTAGATGGAGATACAGCGTCATCAGATGACTTTGACTGGCCACGGTGAGTTAGCAGGTGTATATGATAGACATTTAATGAGATCCTTTCAAAAAATGCTGTGGTACTTTTTTTTTTTTTTAAAGATTTATTTTTTAGTGAGGGAGCAGAGGCAGAGGGAGAGGGAGAGAGAATCTTAAGCAGACTCCACGTGCTGAGCGGGAGCCCCACACAGGGCTTGATTGCAGGACCCTGAGATCATGACCTGAACCAAAACCGACAGTCAGTTGCTTAACCGATTGCGCTACCCAGGTGCCCCTGCTGTAGTACTTTTAATCGGCATTTTGGCTATTAATTTAGACTAAACATACTCAGCCCTGATGAGAGAACAAGGAGAGGGAGAAAACAGAGAAAGAGGGACAAATTAAAATTAAAAATCCATATTGAGTGTACTACTCTATGAAAGGTATATGTCAATACTGTGAGAGATGGAGGTATAAAATGTGTTCCCTGGTCTCAAGTTACCCTGTTTAATTAGAGGCACAAAAGAATCATTAACCATTTAAAAAAATAGTTCAGAGCTACAGTAGAAGAGTTATATGGCATCATTTGGTTAGTTGTTAAGTGAATTTTATAGTCCGTGATTGCTTTAGGACACTGTTTTTCTTTTTTGCTTTTTCTTGTAAGGATTTTATTTATTTATTTGACAGAGACACAGCGAGAGAGGGAACACAGGCAGGGGGAGTGGGAGAGGGAGAAGCAGGCTTCCTGCTGAGGAGGGAGCCTGATGCGGGGCTGAAATCCAGGACCCTGGGATCATGACCTGAGCCTAAGGCAGACTCTTTAACGACTGAGCCACTCAGGCGCCCCTAGGACACTGTTTTTCAAATCTGGGCTTTTACAAAACTTTTACAAAATACTCAGGGGCCCCACCCTGAGATTTTGGGATAGAGCCTGGGCATCAGGATAGTCTAAAAATTACACCAGATGATTCCAGTGTGCAGGTGGATGTCAAGAACTACTGCTTCAGGATTTCTTAGAAGAATTAATAAAGTATATTTATTAGAGATTATTAATTAGTCATTAACATTTGTTAATTACTCATTATATATTATACACTGTAATAAGACTATTAATTTAATAGCCTGATAGTGGGCTTGGATATGTTTAAAAGGACTTAGTTTACTTGAAATGACTTTATTATATTGAAAACTGAATATTTGATATCTGAGAATTAAAGTGACCTTTTTTTGTGCCATTTTCCTGACAGCCTTTTTTACACCTGCCCCTGTGTATCAGTCCTAGCAGGCTCTTAGGATGGGTGTGATCAGGACGTGCCTGATAATGAGCGGTTTAGTGCATGAGTTTTCATCATAAATGGATCTACTTCGGTTAATTTGGAAGCACAATTTACATTAGGATGTCTATAAATTAGGAAACAGTCGTGATTGTTCATAACAGGAGCCAACTGGCACCACTTAACTAAGGGGAAAAACACTTCATAGATGCCCCACAGAAGTTTGGTTTGAGGGCACCAGGCCTCCTCACGATGGTGTTGGGAAGGAAACTGCAAAGCCTTTGCTAGTGATGTGCAGGGAGTAGGAAAGCGGGGCCCAGGGCGTTGGCTCCTTTACTTCAGGTTTGTAGCTTCAATACAGCAACAAGGCAAGCCTTTTGTTATTGAAATTCCTGAAGGAAAATGCTACTTTGTTGTTGCAGTTCTAAGTTACTCTCTTATGAGTCTTTGTTTTTCCATTTGAATAATTTCTATGATAGAAGGTCTCTTAGGTGTGCAATATTCTAAAATAGCACAACAGACCCCAGAAGCATTTGGTTTCATGAAAATAAATAGAATTATTAGGTAAAATTTGTTGGCTATTGATGAAATTGAAAGAAAATCTTTTGTCCTCAAGGTCAGATTTTCAGTTAGTCAAGTATGAAATGTTAATGCCCTTCTTTTATTTGTTTCATCTGTTCTACATTTAAAGTTTATAGCACACTCAGAAGTGGTTACATGAGACACAATTAGACTTTGTAGAAAAGCTGAATCCTATTATTGGTGGTTTTTGTATCAGAGTGCAGGAAAGTTAAAGCCTTGCTGTTCACACTTAGGCCTTGATTTTTTAAATTGTCTTTGCTGTCAGAATTGTACTGAAATTAAATCCACCAGCTGTGCATTCCATTTTGGAGCGAATAGCAGCTGAGGAAGAGAGTGATGGCCGCTATCAGGAAGAGGAGGAAGGGGGTGCTCATTCCCTGAAGGATGTTTGTGATCTGCGAAGACCAGCCCCTTCTCCCTTCTCTTCTCGTAGAGTCATGTTTGAAAACGAGCAGGTAAAATGAGCAATGAAGTGAGCAATGAAGGAATTATCCTTTACCATGTAGCAGTCATTTTCATTCTTTGTTTTTGAAGTACTTTGTATACTGTTATTGCTACCCTTTTAACTCTAAGACTGAATAATATTTCTTTCTTTTCTTGGTTAAAAGTTACATGCTTATTTGTTTGTTTACATATAAAGTCCCATGGATAGGGCAAGAAGATGGTACTGTTACTTTAAACATGAAATGGTTATTTCATGCTTTTTTTGCACCAAACTTGTATTTTAGATGGTGATGCCAGGAGACCCTGTGGAAATGACAGAATTTCAGGATAAAGCAATCAGCAATTCTCACTATGTGCTGGAACTTACGTTACCCAACATTCATATAACACTACCTAATAAAAGCTTTTATGAGAAGCTTTATAATAGGTGAGTTTAAACACATTTAGTTGAGTCTTTGGGATTGGACTTCTCTGCCTGTCTCCCTGTTTCCCCACTTGCCCCTTTTCTTTCCTTTAATATTATCTACCATCACTGGGTACTTTGTGTGGTGTTGATTACAAAACTGTTAACCGGGGCGCCTGGGTGGCTCAGTCGGTTAAGCGACTGCCTTCGGCTCGGGTCATGATCCTGGAGTCCCGGGATCGAGTCCCGCATCGGGCTCCCTGCTCAGCGGGGAGTCTGCTTCTCCCCCTGACCCTCTTCCCTCTCGTGCTCTCTATCTCTCATTCTCTCTCTCTCAAATAAATAAATAAAATCTTTAAAAAAAAAAAAAACTGTTAACCGTTCCGATGGGCTGTTGTCATAGCAGAGTTTCCTAACCAGTGTGCCTGGTAACTGGGTTACTTGTATGTGAGATGTTTTTTCCCTCCACCTTTGTTGGCTGTTTGCTCTCTGTCACCTTACCACAGAGTACTGAGTAAATGTCTTCTATGTGTGCACTGACATGAAGAGTTGGGAGACCCCTGTATGGAGGGCCAACAGGTGCCAGGGGAGCAGCTTATATGGGGGGCTGGCACGTGCCTGGGTAGAATCAGAATCCTAGAGTCTTTGTACAAGGAGCATCTTTTTTCAGGGTTTAAAAAAGCATCTTGTTAGAATTATATAATATCCTTAAATATACATACCAAGCAAATATGTTGAAATAAATAGCATTCTAGAGTTAAAAGAGCCTAGACCTGGAAGACCTTCACAACTTACCTGACCTAAGCTCAGTTTCCTCATCTGTAAAATGTAGATGATAACTTGAACCTGTCTCAGAGTTGTTTGGAGGATTAGATGATACAGCACTTGAGAAGTTCGGAGAATAGCGCCTGGCATACAGCAAGCACTCGGTAGTCCTCTGGTATCATTCCCATCCACTGAAGGAATCACTTCTATAGCAGACCTGAAAGGTGGTCATGTGCTTTTCTAGAATAAGATGTTCTTAGTATCGGTCATCACTAGCTTCTCATATGTAAGACACATGATTTTCATGTCTATTAATCTTTAGAAGCTGCACTGTTGTTTCTGCTGTACATTTACTTGATATCAGACATCTCTGGTCCTTTATTCCTTAACTGTTCATAATAAGCTCTGGATCTTCTTATTGCCTGCCAGTGACTAGGATTGTTGGTCTTAGAATCAGAAAATTAAGTTCCAGAAAGATCTATTTAGTTGAGTTTTCTTGATGATGAGATTCACAGGATAGTCTATTTGAGGTGGAGGAAGAAAATGTTCTGTTCAACTTAAAAAAAAAATCTTTTTATTTTTATTTATTTATTTTTTTAAAAGATTTTATTTATTTGACAGAGGAAGACAGAGCATGAGCGGGAACACAAGCAGGGGGAGTGGGAGAAGGAGAAGCAGGCTTCCCGCTGAGGAGGGAGCCCGATGCGGGGCTCGATCCCAGGATTCTGGGATCATGACCTGAGCCGAAGGCAGACGCTTAACAACTGAGCCACCCAGGCTGCCCCCAAAAAATCTTTTATTTTTTAACGATTTATTTTAGAGCATATGCAAGAGTGCGAGAGGCAGAGGGAGAGAGAATCTCAAGCAGACACTGTGTTGAGCACGGAGCCTGACACGGCAGAGCTCTATCTCACGACCCTGAGATCACAACCTGAGCCGAAACCAAGAGTTGGCAGCTTAATTGACTTAACTGAACCTAAGTCTTTTAAAATTTATATTTTTATATTTGTTTTATATTCTACATAATGTATATAAGTAGAAGCCTATAATTTATAAATTCATATCAGAAGGCTTTTACAGGTTTGTTTTTTTTTTTAGCTGTTACACATGATCTAAAGTTTGGGAAACCACTGATCTCTAGACCATTCTTCTTTTTATAGTTAGGAATATCTACCAAGAGTTGACAGATCTGCAAAGCTAAGACTGAGCAGAACGAAACAACTAGTTCAGGGTCTAGCCCAGAGGTCAGAAGAGCTTAATCCATTTCTTTCTCTTTCTGCATTTGCTTGAGCAGGTGGCCGTCGGTTAAATTGGGACATCAGAACAGAAATATGCACCTTAAACATTGAGTTTATAAATATGTTCATCTACAGCTTTTTAAAATACAAGACAAGGGCTTTTTTTTCCCTTTTAATATGAGCCACAGGTTGGAAGTTTCACATAATGTATACCTGAAAGGTTTTGTTTACAGTTTTCAGTTACTGAAAAAATCGTTTCAGAGGAGTCTGAGTGCAAAATCTTTCTCGGTTTTTTAAGATTTTTTCCACCTCAGTCTGTATATTTAAGTCATCTCTTAGCATAATATTGAGTTAAAGTATACTTACAACAGTAAATACAAGTGAGATGAGCACATTTGAGGCCAAACACAGTTGACACTTAGTGAATATACTGAACATAGAGTTTACCTGATAGGAGCAGACTTCTTGGGTGTGCTGGAGAGTAGTCCCAAGGAGCAGCGGTTAGCATATGGGGACTTCCATCAGGATGGCAGGTGGGGCGGTTGACTGCTCAAGTCAGGAACGAGAGAGTATGTGTTCTGCAGAGTTGGTTAAATAGTGGTTGCTGAAGAGCGTTTCTGTTCTACCTTACCCTGCCCACTTCTCCAGCTCTCAGATATCTACAGTTGTATAAATGTTGAAGTGCTCCCTCACCCTGTGGATTTATAAATCACATATCTAAGTTCTTCAGGGTGTGAATTCTTTGCCCTTTATTTGGCTTTGAATAGGTCTGTTTTTATTTTGAGTTAATATTTTATTTTTACTATTTTTTTGAGTTAATATTATTTTAAAGTTTTCACATATTCTCAGACTTGCAGAAAAGTTTCAAGTGTAGAACATAGAGCTTTTCTCTCCCCCGCCCTTAACTATTTGAGAGCCACTGACCTGATGCCCTTCCCTGGCACTTGTGTATTTCCCAAAGACAAGGACATTCTTCTACATAATTATAATTCAACAATCAAAATGAGAAAATGAGAAAATTAATATTCTGCATTACTTAATCTTCAAACCCCATTCGAGTTTTGCTAAATGTTTCAGTATTGCCCTTTTATCTATATAATTTTTAAAATTTATTTTTAGTTTTTATTTTCATACATTAAAGTAACTTTCTGAGCAAGAGATATAACCAACTCTGCCTTAACTTCATACATTTTAAATTCTTGGTTTATTCCTTTAGTGCCTTGGTCAATGGGCTCTTTTTAGATAGACAATCTCAGGTACAGGAAAATTTTTTCCATTGAAGTCCTTTAGAGTAGAATATAAAAGAATTTTCACTAGCTTTGTTAAATCAGGTATTGTCTGTTATGTTTCAGGCTCATAGCCACAGAATCATGGTGATGTGCCCTTAAATATCTTTTTTTTTTTTTAAAGATCTATTTATTTATTTGAGAGAGAGAATGAATCCCAAGCAGACTCCCTGCTGATAGAGCCCCATCCAGGGCTCAGGTCCACAACTCTGAGATTATGACCTGAGCCAAAATCAAGAGTTGGCCACTTAACTGACTGAACCACCCAGATGCCCCTGTGTCCTTAAATATCTTAAGTGTTTTCTTTCTTGGTATTAGAAACCTCATCCAATGTTTTATAGTATTAATGATACCAAGACTGGGTTTAGACCAACATGTAAACAAGGAAAACGCAAAATCATATAAAACTTATATTTAGGTTTTACATAAATTAATATTTTCTCTTACCTATGGAGATAAGAGAATGGTTGTAGGGATAAGGTAAAGGGCATTTCCTGAGAAAATTCTTCATTTTATCGTCATTATTTATTTACCAAGGAGTTTAGAGTAAGATCTGGGTTTAGACTCTTTTGTTTCTTTGTCCTGTGAGCAGTATATCCAAGAAGCAGTGAGCCAGTGAGTATCACACAGTTTGGGGGCATAGCTGTCATTGTATCTGAGATGAAACTTACGTATCCCTGGCATTCTTCACCTATTGATGGTTCCAGATGGAGAGCTTTTGGGGTGGGGATTTGAGTCTACTGAGAGTCATGATACTCAGTCCTGGTTGTTTATACTTTCTAGGGCTTCAGAAGCTTAGGAATTGGCCCGGGAAGTTCCTAGACAAGTGGCTTCTCACAGCAAGGGCCAGTGGGGCACCTTGATGGGTATTCACACTAGGCTTTACGAGGAGGCTGGGCCTTTGGCATTCCTGCCATGTGAGTCGTCCACTGGTCCTCTCATCATCAAACCCTCAGTGCCTGCTATGTGACAGCCACCGTGCTAGGCACATATAAAGATGACCAACACCTAAGGCCCTCTCGCTGAGAGGCTACAGTCTCGGAAGGGGAAGCAAGAAAATACTGTTGTAGGCACCATGACAGAGTTATGTATGTGAAGGATTCACTGTGGGTCCAGATCTTAACAACGGGCTTCAGAGAAGACATTGTGAAGTCTGAGTATTTATAAAAATGTAGAGCAGTGGTGATCTTGGGGGGCGGGGGGCGGGGTAGGAGCAGGAGGGCATCTGAATAGTGACAGATATTTCTTTGAAAAAGTAGGATGTGCTGGTAGTCTAGCTTGATGGGTATCACCCATTAATCACTAGTATTGACTTGGCTGTGCAGCCAGTAGGTTTCCTCTCTTTGTTCCCTGTGTTGTATGCATTCTTAGTCCATGCACACTTCCCAGGGAAGCTGTGCTTTCTGTTGGGGTAGGGCGGGGGGAGAGAGACAGAGAAAGAGAGAGAAAGCAGTTATCTCTAGGAACAGTGAGTAAGGAGGAGAGCTGAATTGGGAGCTGGACAAAATCCGGGCTGTGGCCCCAGTCCTTCCACAAATTAGCCCTATGACCTTGGGCAAGGCACTTAACCTTTATGAGGCAGTTTCTCCAAGTGTGAAGTGAGAGTAATGATTCTTGGCTGCCCCATGGGTTTGGGGGTGGGGTGGGGTCAGATGAGACAGTGTGTGGTGTGTTATAGTTTATAGAATGCTCTCTTGTGTGAACAGTCTTTCCTTTGTTCTTTACAGTTTTTAAATTAATTTTCTCCTCTAAAGTGCGTTTAGGTGTGTGTAATTTGATGTACACAACATAGGTAAAACCAGGCAGGTAGCTGATTAGGTACTGAATTGTACAGATGCCTTTCTCACTGTCCTGCAGTCAAGCCGTATCAGTAACTTTTCCATTGAAAGGACATAATTAATACTTAAAAAAAAAAAAAACCTCCTTTGTAGGATCTAGTTTCTATTTCCCATTTAGAAAAATTATTATTCATGTGACTTCTTAAAGACATGTTCTTGAGTTTACCTTCAGTTGAACTATGAGTTATGTATTTTTCAACTTTTGTCTTCCATAGGATCTTTAATGACTTGCTGCTGTGGGAACCAACAGCTCCTTCACCAGTGGAGACATTTGAAAATATTTCCTATGGTATTGGTCTTTCTGTAGCCAGTCAGCTGATTAATACCTTCAACAAAGATAGTTTTAGTCCATTTAAATCCACAGTTCACTACGGTAATATATTTTAAATTTGTTCTAACTTAAAATGCCAGGTTTAGCAATAAAGTAGTAACCTTTTCAATTGATAGATTTTAAAATGTTTCTTGGCTATTTTCTCCTTGTAACTAACTATATTTTATAATATAGTAATTTATAGTATTTCTCCACTTCTATCTACATATTGAGAATATTATCAATTAAATATATTATCTTTATAGTGATAGTATGTATATTGTTTTAAGTTCAGTGGGAAAGAGAAAAATACAAAGTATATTTTTATTGTCATGCCAGATTCTTGATAAAAATACAGGTTGTAAAATAAGTATTTTTTGTGATAATATTCCAGTTGCTATTCTATTTCTGTAGCTGTCCAAACCATATCACTATGACATTTATTTCTCACAGATGAGGAGAGTGGATCTGAGGAGGAGACATTGCAGTATTTTTCTACTGTTGATCCCAACTATCGTTCCCGTAGGAAAAAAAAACTAGACTCTCAGAACAAGAACTCGCAGAGTTTTCTCTCGGTTCTTCTGAGTATTAACCATGGACTGATGGCAGTGTTTACAGATGTCAGGGTAAGGATTTGCAAAGCCAAAGTGTTGTTTCAGGTCTATCTTATTTTAAATGTACCGTGATTACACCCACCGTCATTGAGGTGGCGGGAGGTTGTTTCAGTGCCTGAGAAAGGTTCCGCAGTGACAGTGGCTTTGGAGAGTAAGCATTTCACTGCAGATCACAAGACAGACCTTGTGTGGACCTTCTTTTGGCAAATGTGCTGGTTCTGCTGCTGACGTGATCACAAGTAATTTACCTGTTAGAGAGGAGGGTGAAGTACAGGGATTCATTCTGCAGAGAGGACCCTGCATAGCATTTCATGCAACCATGTTGCGTGGTTTGAGAATCAGACTGCTTTGCTGCCATGTGGGAGAATCTTCTAGGCTGAATCAGGAAGGAGCAACCCAAGGGGCATTCTGACTTTTCTGCATTTAAATAACGACTTCTATGTTTTTCTGACCTTTTTATTAGCAAGATAATGGAGAGCTGTTGGAAAATAAACATGGTGAATTCTGGTTAGAGTTCAGCAGTGGTTCATTGTTTTGTGTGACCAAGTATGAAGGCTGTGATGACAAGCACTACATCTGCCTTCATTCCAGTAGTCTCAGTCTGTACCACAAAGGTAGGACACATGTTGAATGTGTGTTCTGTTCACCTCTGTTCAGACCCATTGAAATTTTGTTTAATAAAGTTTTTTTTAAAGATTTATTTGAGAGAGAGTGTGCAACAGGTGGGGGAGGGGGAGAGGGAGAAGCACACTCCCCACTGAGCAGGGAGCCTGACATGGGGCTCCATCCCAGGACCCTGGAATCATGACCTGAACCGAAGGGAGACATTTAACCGACTGAGCCACCCAGGTGCCCCCTAATAAGGAAAATCTATTGAGAACAGAACTCTCATATTAGAAATTATTTTCTCTGGGGTGTTCTGATTCCACTGGCAAAGTAATACTTACCATAAATTAGGAGTTGACTTTATGGTTTTTCTGGGCAACAACTTTATTGAGGTGCAGTAGTTCATGTACCATAAAATTCACCCATTTAAACTATCCATTTCACTGGTTTTCAGTATTTCCCAGAGTTGTTGTAACCAGCATCACAATCAACTTTAGAACCTTTCCATCATCCCCAAAAGAGGCTGTGCACCCTTCAGTTGTAACCTCCCATGGCCCTCCCACCCCCCCACCCCCCAGCACTAAATAACCTCTAATCTACTTTGCCTCTCTGGGTTGTTCTGGATGTTATGGAATGATATAATATATAGTCTTTTGTGACTGGCATCTTTAATTTGGCATGATGTTTTCAAGGTTCATCCGAGTGTATTAGTATTTTATTCCTTTTATTGACAAATAATATTCCATTTTATGGGTGTGCTGTATCTTACTATCCACTGATGAGTTGATGGGACTTTACATTCATTACTCTCTCTTAAGCAGCATTTCCTTTTGGTAACAAAAGGAATTTGCCATCTTTTGAGTACATTCCCTGTTACCCTGTGAATAGAAGATACTCACACATTCTTTTTTTCCCCCCAAAGTGTAGAAAACAATACTTTGCACAGTCTTAATGCTTATCAGATTTTTCTATTTAATTTTCCTAGCATTTCATCTTAATTTTTCTTTTTTTTAAAGTAGGGTACTATCAGTCATACCACCATTAGCAGAGAGGTATGGATTATTAATGCCAAGCTGGTTCTTGGTCATTTTGCCTCCAGGATTATAGTACATTCAGTGGAAGCATAGGGATTTTTGTTTTGAGTTGTGAAAGTCTGTGAACTAATTTCAGGTTATCATTTTGTTACATTGTCGCTTCATTGTCGATGTAGGCATAGTAGATGGAGTGATTCTTCCTACGGAAACACGACTGCCCAGTTCAACACGCCCACACTGGTTGGAACCTACTATTTATTCCTCTGAAGAAGATGGCCTCAGTAGAGCTTCTTCAGATGGTGTTGCAGGAGACACTTTGAATATGCTCTCTGTTGCAGTTAAAATACTATCTGATAAATCAGAGTCCAATACAAAGGTTTGTGTTTTGTACTTTTATACCATTAAAGACTTGCTGTTCATTTGATTACTAGCTAAAAGTGATTGCATAAAAGCAACACATTTATTTTCTTGGAAAAACTTTCCAAGTTTTGAATTAGAGGGTTATGTAGGTGATCAGTGTAACTTTTTGTGTCATCTGTACAGGAATTTCTCATTGCTGTGGGGTTGAAAGGAGCCACACTCCAGCACAGAATGCTTCCTTCTGGGCTTAGCTGGCACGAGCAGGTACGAGTTGTTATGTACATATTGATTTACTTTTTACTTTATATTGACATGTAATACACAGGCTGTAAAGTCACAAATTGGAAATGATCAGTGTGCATAGAAATATCGTTGAAGTAAACACTCCTATATAACCACCTCTTAAGTTAGGAAATAGAACATTATCACCACTCCAGAACGAAATTGATTTTTTACCTTAAAGTTTCGACCCTAAACATCTCAAAGACAGAGTTATCTTTTAAATCATTTAAGGGAAGGCACTCTGTGTCCCAGAACCTGTAGGGCACCAGGCATAGAGGAGCAGCAAATGATGTATTGACTTGTGCTCACTCCATACGTGCCATAATTTCACAGTTATTCCCTAGGCCAATGACATGCTTCGAGGCATTTCTGTAATTAATCTCCAGCATTTGATTAATGAAATACAGTTGGTTCTTTTCTATTGAGAATGAAAATTAGTACACTGTGACTCTTGTTCATTTTCCTTAGAGGAACTTTTTCTTTGTGCTGGAAAATAATAAAATATTTTATACCTGAAAGTTTTCAGAGCGCTTTCATAAAAGCATTTAGGAAACCTGAGGAGACCTAGATCTGTGTAGCAAGGGTAGAGAGATGGTTGGTGTGAACACTGAACTCAGTTGTAAGGGGGAGGTTTAATCTAACCTCATTTAGATAGAAATACAGGAGAATGGATGTTAGAGGATCTGGTTTTCAGACTGAGCTAGGTATAATTTAAGGAAGAATAACTTTTCCCAAAAGTGGATTACATAGAAAACCAGATGGAGTGTTAAGTAATCTTTAGCAAAGTTTATTTTTTTCAAGAATTGTCCCAAGCAAAATAATATGCAAGCATATTATACATACTTTAGTTTGTATAATGATTTTGATATGAATCATATCTTTGAGAAGATACAATTTTCTCAAGACTTATGTAGCATTGCAGTTGTCAGATGGGACTCTCTTCATTTCAAACTTGAGTGGTTTTGCAAATACTTTTTAAAATGAATTACTTCAAAATGATGATTTTTTTTTCCTTTTGGCATTGATTCCCCCCCCCCCCCCCAATAAATGGTTGCTTTTTCTGTGAGATATTTTACATTGGTACTAAAGATATCCTGGTCACAACTTTTTTTTTCTTCTAAAGCAGGGCATTTTATATTTTTGTGATTACAGATTTTATACTTCTTGAATATTGCTGATGAACCTGTTCTGGGATATAATCCTCCAACTTCATTTACAACTTTTCACGTTCACCTCTGGAGCTGTGCACTTGATTATAGGTCAGTTCACAAGTTGGACAAAATAAAGCTTTGTTCAAAATGTGTACTGTTTTGAAAAAATGAGTAATTCAAATTGTACAGTTAAGGTTCAAAATGCTCTTTAGCAGACTGATGTTGTTTGTTTCTTTTTGGTATTAGGCCTCTTTATTTGCCGATCCGATCTCTTCTCACTGTGGAAACCTTCAGCATTTCGAGTAGTGTGGCCTTGGACAAATCCTCATCTACTCTCAGGTGCCTGGGTAAACTTGACTCTCTGCTAAATGCGGCTGTTCCAGACATGCTAACTGTTGTTCACCTGAAGTCTTTGAAGTCCCAACCTTTTGTTAAAAATCAGCCTTCTTTTACCTGTAGTCATGTCCCTTTATCCAGGTTTTCAATTTTTCATTTTTGAATGATTTGTCCCATCTCTTCTATTTATCACTTTTTTATTTTTAGGGAGGAAATGAATTCCTGAGATTGATAGTTTACTTTTAAAAACAGAAATCTAAATTTTCTTCCTATACTACCTGATAACACTTTATTTTCATAATTTAGATAATTTAGATCTATTAAAAAATGCTGAAAATTTAAATTAATTTGAGCTGATGATTCAGTCTCATTCTTGACACCATTTAAATATTTCTAGCACTCAGAAACTGAGTTTTAAGGAAATGTTAGATGCCACTTGTAAGAAACTACATATGACTTTGATAACTTGTATATCAGAAGAATGATACAGTGAAGTATGTCATGACCACGTGTCATATATTCAAAGTTAATTTTTCGATGTTGATTTTGTATTGTTTCCTCAGAATAATCTTGGATGAAGCTGCTCTGCATTTGTCTGACAAGTGTAATACTGTTACTATAAATTTGAATAGAGGTAAGAGTTGAAAAACAAAATCTGAGATAGATGGATGTTCTTTAGTTTTTGTATGAATATTTTAGAGCATTTGAACTCTGGAATAATGCTGTTGAACTAAGGATCTTATTAAATACCAGTTTGAAGTTGTAATGTCCTTAGAACATCAGTTAATGCATCAAATTATATGTACTCTATTTAATATAAGATTAATTTTGTTCCTAAGTAAAATGGAATTGTAGGACTTTTATAGGATGAAACTATATTTCCATTCCATTCTAAATATTTGTACCACTAACTGCCGTGAATTTTAAAGAGATGCTAGTTTTATTACGTGTTGGTTGGATATGTATTTTTTGAAAGCTTTACTCAGATATTTTGTTAATTTAAAAAATTTTAGATTATGTTCGTGTGATGGATATGGGGCTTTTGGAATTAACCATAACTGCAGTGAAATCTGATTCTGATGGAGAGCAAGTAAGTTATTAAAATAAATGGAAATTTTTACTTTTTTTTTTTTTTTTAAGATTTTATTTATTTATTTGACAGAGAGCGATGGCAAGAGAGGAACACAAGCACGGGGAGTGGGAGAGGGAGAAGCAGGCTTCCTGCCGAGCAGGGAGCCCGATGTGGGGCTCGATCCCAAATCATGACCCGAGCCGAAGGCAGATGCCCAGTGACTGAGCCACTCAGGCGCCCTTGACCCCTCTTTTTTATAAGAGAGACCAAAGAATAATTGAATTTATTATAAAATTATTTTGGTCAAAAGTAGATAAAATATTTTAAAATTAGGATATAATTATAAATATACATTTCCTGTGGCAAGTAAAATTCTGTTGTTTTATTTAATGTAAGCCTATGCAAAACAAGAAATTTTTAGCTCTTGTTTGAAAAACCTGTTCATTTCTTTTCCCTTGTGTCCATCCAGACTGAGCCGCGCTTCGAGCTACACTGTTCCAGTGACATTGTCCATATCAGAACGTGCTCGGACTCTTGTGCTGCTTTAATGAATCTCATTCAGTACATTGCAAGCTACGGGGACTTACACGCAGCAAACAAGGTGGAGGTGAAGCCTGGAGCCCCTCACAGAAAGATGAAGGTATAGCCAGCAACATCTTTTATTAGAACTAACTCACCCTGGACACCTTGCAGCCACCGGCGTGATGTGTGTGCGTCAGTGAGGTCTTCATGACAGTCATGAGGTAGAAAAAAAACTTTGAAAAATCACCTATCTGTTCTTTACCTTCAAAGTGATGCGTCTGGAAAGGTGATTCCATAGGCCTTTTTGGAAAACCATTCTGTTTGGTGTTCTTTGTTTCAGAACATTAATCTTCTCGGCCAACAGAATACTTTCTTCCAGACTTGAGTTATTTTCATCTCCCCTCCAGGAAGAAAGAAAACATTTAGCATTGTAAGAGCTTGCTCTGTGCCAGTCGTATGTATAAATGCTTAGGAGAGGAGATACCAGTGTTAGTATTATCACCAGAAGACTTAGGTTATCTTTTGTTTGTTACATATGATTCTGTTGGGTTTTCAGTATATTTTCTTGTTTGTGATTTCTTTGAATTCAGTGTGATAGGTTAAAGATTATCATCTCCGTTTTATAGATGAGTAAGTTAAAACCCAGAGAATTAGGCTATTTGCCCAAATTAATAGAATTGGCAACAAAACCAGATACTTTGATTTCTGGGTCGCTGCTTTCTTATGCCCCCAACTGTCACCTCTCTGTCCTCTCGTATGTACAGATTGAACAATGTCCGGTTTGTTTAGCATTTTTAACTTTTTAGTGCTTTTTCATTCTTCATCGTGGCCTGCTCTGTGAACAGGGTTCTCAGTCTCTTAGATAATGGAGCCCCTAGTGAAGGTCCTTATCTTGTTCAGATGCTCTTACACTTCATTCGTGTTAGGCTTTGGGTTTTGACTCCTTGCTTTTGCTGTCTTCTCACTGCTAAGAAGGCAATTCATGACCCTCCCTCTCCACTGTTTATGTTCTTTGTAAAAACATTCTCCAGTTTATTAAAAGTTACTTTAAATTATCCCTTTCAAATTGGATCTTTCCATTTTAGAGTCATACTCCCATTTAAAAAGCATGGTCTGGATTTAATGAACCCACAGTTCACTAACCAAAATGGTTAAGCATCAGCCCTGGAGTTGAACCCCGTCAGTCCCCACTTAGTAGATTTCCACTGCCCTGTGTGCCCCCTACTATCCTTCGGTGTCCGTCCATTTCAGGACACGAGACTCTGACCCCCAGTGGCTTTGTGTCCATGGGGTGAGAGTTGGTGCAGCTGCCAGATTTGAGCAGCTCCCGCTCTGCAGAAGGAGACCGCTTCTCCCCAGGCCTCACTGCAGTGTTCTTAGCTTCTGTCTCCTCTAGTGTGCGCTCTCTCCACCGTCCCAGCTCATGGTGCTGGCTTTGAGGTGATGGCACATTTATTTCTGTTGGCCAGTAGTCGTTGGGGTGATGATGATGCTAACAGCCTAGAAGGCTGCAGCTGCCGGGCAGAAGGTAGAACGATGGGTGCGTTCCTGTTTCTGGTGTCATTGTAAAATGCCACGTGTTTCTAGGACAACGTCATGCTGAGTAGTTTGCTTCTTAGAGCGTTTTCAGTTATTTTTAATTAGGTGTTTTGGCTGTAGGTAGATTCCAGCGGTCGCTCATCCTCACAAGGTCCAGTACTTCCTGAAGCAGACCAGCAGATGTTACGCGATCTGATGAGTGACGCTATGGAGGAGGTTGACCTGCAGCAGGCCGCCGCGTCCGCGCCGGCCCAGGCCAACGGTAGGACGGGCCAGGCCTTCCTCCCCAGGAGCACTGGGGCCTCACTTGAGGTTTATGTTATTTGTACGCTTACAAATTCTGCAGTGAGTAACTTAATAAAGAAAAGACAAGTCTGAGTTTTGGTGGATATTTATTAGTCAATCTGCTTGTGTTGATTGAGCGTCTAGTAGATAAATAACCACTGGCCAGGGTGTTGTGGGGGTTACAGATGAAATGAAAGACAAAGCTTATCTTTTCTGTTAGCTTAGAGTTTCATAACACAGATCGGCACTAAGCCAGACTGATGTTCTTACTTAGAGTGATTGCGAAATGACATGAGAAAGCGCTTCAGAGTGTGTCACATCCTCAACTACCGGTTGGAAGGGATTGGAATTGTCTCATGAGATTTCAGTGAAAGTGAGAGGAGTTGGCTTAATTTAATTTAATTTTTAAAGATTTTATTTATTTATTTGACAGAGACAGAGCAGGAACACAAGCAGGGGGAGTGGGAGAGGGAGATGCAGGCTTCCCACTGGGCAGGGAGCCCGATGCAGGACTCAATCCCAGGACCCTGGGATCATGACCTGAGCCTAAGGCAGACGCTTAACGACTGAGCCACCCAGGTGCCCAAGTTGGCTTAATTTTAAAGAGTGGCTGGGCTTTAGGTATATGGAGAGGAGAGAGAAGGTAGTCTTGGCAAGGTCATGAATGTTGACAGAGGCGCAGAAGCATGCAGAAGCCTTAATTATCTTGCAGCTCAGGCTCTTATTGGAACAGAAGCTCCCTTCTCATTGGAAAGAATTGGCCAGCAAAGTTGGATAAGCAGGGAGGAATCAGCCAGTGGGAGAGCCTTGAAAGCCAGCTGGGAGCATCTATAAATACTTTGAAGCATCTATCTAAAAAATATTTTTTTCTAATTGAATAAACATAGTCATTTCTATATGTTCTGAAATCTTAATTTTTAAAAAATTATTTCATGGTATTATCAAAGTTTAGGGTTAAATTGTTGCTTTTATTCTAATTTAGCATAAATTAGAACTCAGGAAACAAATAGGAACTTTTAGCTTCCTACATATTACATTATCTGTAATATTAGCAGCTAACCTACTTAGGTGGGAAAGAATGTTCCATGAATATTTACTGAGCAGCTTCAATATTCAGGTGCACCAGGCACTTACAAAGGATGAGTAAGTCCAAGGTGCTGCCATAGAAGAATTTAAAATCTGGTCTGTGAGCCTCTTGAGCCTCTTGAGGCTAAAATGTCACATTATTCATCTTCACGTTCTCAGTCCTTATCACAGTGATTGGAATGACTGATGGAATGGAAAAAGAATTAGTGGATCTACTATGTATTAAAAATGCATAAAGATGTATGTTCACAATACAGATTTTGTCATGCATGCAGTCGTGAACCACATTGACAGCTACCTGAGAACAGGTGGCCCGTTTGGGTATCCAGCGCCCCACAAAGTAGTCTGTTGATTGTAGGGCACCACTCCCTGGCCAGAGATCTGCTTGGCCTCTGTTTCCCCGCCCCCCTCTATAAGCAGAGATTTCCTGTAGTTTTAGGGGAGGCACTGCCAGATGTTACCAGTTGTTCCTACCCTTACAGTATTGCTCTGGAAGTTTCCAGATCTCCACCCACAGGACAGAGTTGTCAGAATGCAGTTCTGGCTTAAACAAAACTCAGTTAACACTAACCCCCTGCTGCCAAATTTCTGAGCTTCTCTAATGCGAAATAACTAAGAGGAGACTCACTATGACTTTTGAGACCATCATTTATATCAGTCTTTTTATTAGTAATCGGAGGGTTGTAAGAAATAAATGAGATATTGCAGGTGAAAACATTTCAATATAGTGTGTATCTGACATGTGGTTAAAATGTTTACTAAGCATTACTGTTCAAAATGTGCCAAAATTGAGTGTTGTATTCTTTTTTACCTAGGTGTTTTGGATGAAAAATCTCAAACTCAGGAGCCCTGTTGTTCAGACCTCTTCCTGTTTCCAGATGAGAGTGGGAACACATCCCAGGAGCCTGGCCCTCCTTACACCTCATTCACACACCACTTGATTAGTGATGCAATGGCAGGTGCGCCCACTGAGAATGACGACTTTTGCATTCTTTTTGCACCAAGAGCAAACATTCAGGTAATAAATGGATAATATAATTGAGGCCTTAAGGTAGTGTTACAGGTTGAATTGACCAAAGGGTACCTGAGAAACAGTCTTCAGATTTTTTTTTTATAACTCTTGGCAGTTCACAGTGACTTCATTTTATAATTTATTATTGAGACTTTACAAATGTTTACTATACTTTATTACTTCTGTGACACATCGCTCTAAAACTCAGAAGAATGCTCAATATTTGCAAAATTTAAAAAAAAAGACTTTTTTTTAGATTTTATTTAAATTCAAGTTAGTTAACATATAGTGTATTATTAGTTTCAGGGCGAGATTCTCTACATAGATTATTAAACTACAGATGTTGTACATAGTTAGCTCTTCAGGGCAAGGAAATGGTGAAAGCAGTGCTATCCAGAGTTGCTAGTCCAAGAATTGGGAAAGCTAAGACATGGTTTGTGTGAAGGCTGATGATGGTTGATAAGTGTAATTGCCATGTGAAAATCATGCTTCCATTTAAAAAGCATGGTCTGGATGTAATGAATGCACAGTTCACTAGAATGGTTAAGCATTGGTGCTGGAATTGAACTTCATGAATCACCATTTAGCTTATATACATATTAAACTGCTCAGTAGTAACTTGGTGAATGTATTTGTTTTACTGCATCCTGGGAAATTAAAAAAAAATAAAAGCAGTCAAACTCAGGATAACTTCATTATTAGGATCATGGTAATTTGGTCATTATGTTAAGTATGTTAAATTTGGAATGTAGTATTGACTTTGAATTAAATAACTATAAACAAACATACACACACCAGATACACACCCACATCAGCACACACCCACTAAATCTGTGCCTTTTTATTATCAGATGGTAAAAGCTAGATCGAAGACTATGAAAGACTCCTTGTGGAGTGATTTACATAGAACAGAAAGTCCATTTGTTGCTGAATAATGCAGAATATCCAGTGTGATGATTAATATCAGTACTTGCCCATTTCATATATCAATATTGCTATTAGAAAGAATGCAGAGTCAAGAAATCTTGAGATATGCAGCATAGTCAGTGGTTTCTACTGAGACAAGACTGTGTGTGTTTCCTGTTTATTTTAGGAGAAGGAGGAAGAGCCAGTTGTAAAAGTGATGGTGGATGATGCGGTCGTAGTAAGGGAGAATTACTTTAGTCAGCCCGCCAGGAAGACGGACACAGGCAAAGCCCCACTGCACTTTCCCATCCCTGCCGTCCGCTATGTCGTTAAAGAAGTCTCTCTTGTTTGGCATCTTTATGGAGGAAAGGATTTTGGAACAGTCCCTCCTACTTCTCCAGCTAAAAGTTACATGTAAGTTGATTCTACAGAAGTTGTTTTTTTTGTTTTTGTTGTTGTTTTTTACAAGCCATTATTTTCTTTTCTTAGAAAAAGACAGAATTTGTCATTTTTTAAGAGATTTTACTTATTTGAGAGAGAGAGAGCGCGAGCACACGTGAGAGAGAGCATGAGCCAAGGTGAGGGTCAGAGGGAGAAGCAGGCTCCCCGCGGAGCAGGGAGCGTGATGTGGGGCTCCACTCCAGGACCCCGGGATCAGGACCTGAGCCGAAGGCAGACGCTTAACCGACTGAGCCACCCAGGCGCCCCAGAATTTGTCATTTTAAGAATTATTAATAAAGTAGTACTGAAAACTATGTAATTTAAATGTTACTCTTTTAATGTTAAAACTTTTCATTTGTAAACTTAGTTGTATTGTTTATATATTTACTGAAATATGGTGACTTAAGTGATTTCCATTCAGCAAAATATCTTGGGTACCTACCATGTGCCGGAGCCTGTGTTAGAGGCACATTCACCAAAATGAATAAGACCCAGGGGCTCCTGGGTGGCTCAGTGGGTTAACTGTCTGCCTTCAGCTCAGATCATGGTCCCGGGGTCCTGGGATCCAGCCCCCCCATCCGGCTCCCTGCTCAGCGAGGAACCTGCTTCTGACTCTCCCTCTGCCCCTCCTCCTCCCAGCTTCTGTGCTCTTCTGCGCTCACTCCCGTGCTCTCTCCTCCTCCCTGCCCCTGTGCTCTCTCCTGCGAGCTCTCTCCTGCACTCTCTCCTGCGCTCTCTCCTCCTCCCTGCCCTCTCTCCTGCACTCTCTCCTCCTCCCTGCCCCTGTGCTCTCTCCTGTGCTCTCTCCTGCGCTCTCTCTTGCTCTCTCTCCTCCTCCCTGCCCCTGCACTCTCTCCTCCTCCCTGCCCTCTCTCCTGGGCTCTCTTCTCCTCCCTGCCCCTGCGCTGTCTCCTGCGCTCTCTCCTGGGCTCTCTCATGGGCTCTCTCCTGGGCTCTCTCATGGGCTCTCTCATGGGCTCTCTCATGGGCTCTCTCCTGTTCTCTCTGGCTCTCAAATAAATAAATAAAATCTTAAAAAAATAAGACCCACACCCTGCTCTCCATTCAAAAGGATCATTATGTAAGCAGATGAGGGCAATGAAGTGAAGCATGTGCCTCAGGGGGCAGGGACCAGGCGTGGCCCTGAATCTCTGGCCTCCAGCAGAGCTCTGGGCAAGGGGGTGATGCTCCTGAAGTACTTAAATGAGTGTGTTGTTTGGTGGAGCTAGAAGAGGACTAGCCAGCCTAGTCCTAGGTGCAGTGGGAGGGAACATTCTCATTAGGGTGGGAGGATCAGAAAAGGTTTCAGGGAATGGTAATCTTTGGCACAACAGTGTAGAGACTTTCTATTTAAAAGTGATTTTTAGGGGCGCCTGGGTGGCTCAGTCATTTGAGCATCTGCCTTCGGCTCAGGTCATGATCCCAGGGTCCTGGGATCGAGCCCCGCATCGGCCCCCTGCTCAGGGGGGGAGTCTGCTTCTCCCTCTCCCTCTGCTGCTCCCCCTGCTTCTTCTCTCTTGCTCATGCTCTCTCTGTCAAATAAACAAAATCTTAAAAAAAAAAAAAAAGTGATTTTTAAAAACTTCCTTTTCTATTATCGATTGGGATTTTTAGGACTTGTACTCTGACTGTAAGGAGTTTCTGAAGTAATAAGGAACTTCTCAGGAGGTCTCATTTTTCCGTGTCCTGTTTGTTATATGAACACCAACACCATAGTTAGGTTTTTCTGTAGTTCTAAATATTTAGCAGGCAGTTGATTGCCACAATGGCAGTAATAAAATTCATGTTCTCAGTGTCTCCGAAGCATAAAGATGTGGCTTTGATATAGAGAAATGCAGTTTGTGGCAGTGTGTTGATAGTTCTGTAATATTATTTTCTCTTTTTATCTTTCTATTTTTCCTGAGGTCATTCATTGCCTTTCTTTGAATATTTCCTTTAACAAAAATTTTTTCTTTTTTTTAATATTCCATTTATAGCAGTCCCCACAGTTCACCTTCTCACACTCCCACAAGGCATGGACGTAACATGGCATGTGGGGGAAAAGGAAGAAACCATGACTTTTTAATGGAAATACAGTTAAGCAAGGTAAGATAGTATTTTGAAAGGAAAAAGCCACTGACATAGGAGCATTAATGGGGGTTCCTTGGGTACTCCCCAACCTTGTGGTTTTGAGCCCTAAGGGCCAGCCCTTTGGATTGGAAAAATGCAGGGGTCTTGTAAAACTTCTACCTTTGATTTCTCAAATGTTCTGAGAAGTTTGAGGGGTTTGTTTTGTTTTTGTTTTCCCAGGCTGTCCCTAGAGGAGTGTCTCTCAGAGTTGAGCAAGCATCAGAATCCCCTCGAGGGCTTGTTAAAACACAAGTTGCTGGGCCCCAGAGTTTCTGAATCAGTATGAGGTGGGGCCCATGAATTTGCATTTTTAATGAGTTCCCAGGTGATTCTGATACTACCTTTCCCAGGACTACACTTGGGGAACCACTGCCCTGGAGGATCTATCTGGGAGGGCTGCCAGCGGATAGGACCTGTGTCAGGTCCTCCATGAATGTCTAGAGACCAGTACGTCCAGGTCGCCAGTGACATCATACGCATTCAATTCTTTGAGCTTGTCTGGGATTGTGCCCAGTGTCTTAGGGTACTTAACATGGAAGTATCGTAGTGATGAAGATCCCATGCATTTCATTGTATCCTTGCCCCCCCCCTTTGGAACTTGAACATTGCCTCCACTGATTCTTTTTCAAGCAATTTCGTAGGTATGCAAAATGATAATTTTGTGTATTATTCTTACAGAGGGTTTTGCTTGAAAAGGATAGGGATTTTGCCAAGATCAAGTAAGAGATATCTGTTGAGCTTATGCTTGTGAGGCACACGTAGATCAATAAAGTGAACAAATGAAGGACTGCTCTGTTGTTCCCTGGAACAGCAAGTGATGGGTGATATTTTGCATTTTAAAGAAGAAATCTAATCTAAATAAAAGGTAAAAATGGTTGTGTGTTCCTTCTTCTCTGTGAAGGTGAAGTTTCAGCACGAGGTCTACCCGCCTTGCAAGCCTGAGTCTGACTCCAGCCTCTTAGAGCACCCAGTCTCCCGGCAGGTGTTTGTCGTGCAGGATCTTGAAATTCGAGATCGTCTGGCAACATCACAAATGAATAAGTTTTTGTATCTGTATTGCAGTAAAGAAATGCCTCGAAAAGCTCATTCCAACATGGTAAGATTTAAGACCTCATATGTTCTGTTGTGTATTTGTTTTGGAAAAGTGTGTTTATTGTATCTAACTGCAGAAGATTGAGATTGGGGAAAATTGAAGGGTTTTTTTTTTTTTAATAGTAATATGAAAATCCCTTTTAAATATGCTGCTTAAAGTTTTATTGTTATTAATTTTAAAGGTTTTATTTCAGACAGCGAGCACGAGCTGGGGGGCGGGTCAGAGGGAGAAGCAGACTCCTGCTGAGCAGGGAGCCCCATGTGGGACTCCATCCCAGGAGCCTGGGATCATGACCTGAGCCAAAGGCAGATGCTTGACTGAGCCACCCATGTGCCCCTTAAAGTTTTATTATTTAAAAATTATTTTTTAAGATTTATTTATTTTTTTTTTTTATTTGACAGCGAGAGGGGGAGAGAGGGAACACAAGCAGGGGGAGTGGGAGAGGGAGAAGCAGGCCTCCCACCGAGCAGGGAGCCCGATGCGGGGCTCAATCCCAGGACGCTGGGATCATGACCCGAGCTGAAGGCAGATGCTTAACGACTGAGCCACCCAGGCGCCCCTAAAAATTATTTTACATGTCACTTTTAGGGTCCATTAATTTTAACTGCCAATATATTGATACCCGAGGAAAATGGGAAGTCCATTGTGATCTACACAAAATATTTAGTATTGCTTGAAGTGTTCCAGATTTCTAACACTTTGTGAGTTTTAGTGGAATAGGAATGATTTGCTCAGGATTGCTAGAAGAAAACGCCCTAGAAGCTGTCTTTGGAGTGTGGCTCTCCGGATTCCTTCCAGGGGCCCAGCGGATCCTGAAGTGCATGTACCACACTGTCATTTACGTCTTTCCCACTAAAGAGAACCCATATCTCTCCTGAGATTCTTCAAGGAGTGTGTGCCCCAGACAAGGGTGATTCAGGCCTTTAAACAAAAAAGGGAAACAGTTCCACTTTTAGTTCTCCTATAAGGAATAGAAATGGGATTTTTTTCTTTTGTTTCTTCTGTTTTTTCTTTTTGAATGAAAACAAGGTTGTAATATCATTGGGGAAAAAATGTTTTTCTTCTCTCCTAGTTGACAGTGAAAGTATTACACGTGCGCCCCGAGTCCGGCAGGTCACCGCAGGAATGCTGCTTGCGAGTGTCCCTAATGCCACTTCGCCTCAATATTGACCAGGTTTGTACTGCAAGCATTGTGTGAGGAGTTATGCTTCTATGTCCCTGACTCAGAAGAAGAGATTTAATTTAGGTGAATTAAAATGTTTATTGTTACTTAACTGTTATGAAAGTTGCATAATTGAAGAAGAATTCTGCTGGTAAAGAATAGGACAAATTCATCAGGTGTTTGGGATCTGAACTGTTGGTGAGTAAACATTATTAGATGTTGTGCTCCAGGCTCCTCATTGTCTTCGTGACCTAACACTCAGTCCCCGCTTCCCATTCTTCCCTGCTCACGGACACATGGGCAGGTACACAGGTGTCTTCAGAGGGTAGGAAATGACTCCCTGATATCTGTGGTTGAAAGATCAGGGGGCTTGTCTCTTAACCACAGCACCTGGAAGAGAATTCCTTCTGCCCTGGGCAAGATGACAAATTAGTAAATTGGATACCCGAACAGGTCACAAACAACAGATTTGTGGAAAAACCTAAAGAAATCCACTTGGCCATATTCTAGCAAGCATTTCCATGAAATTGTTCTGGGTTTTGCTTTGACTCAGCTGTAAACATAGTTGGCGCCTCTTGGGCAAACTAGATTCAGGGTGTGTGAACACATGATGCTTTGCAGTCATGTGGTGTAGCCATGAGGGGGGCACAGGCTCGGGAGTCAGGCTGGGGTTAGCACCTCAGTTCTCTTTCCCTAGTTGTGTGCCTTTGGGGAAGTTATTTCTCCAAGCCTCACTTTCTTCACTGATAAAATCAAAGTAAGAGAAATAGATGTAGAATCGTTTTTTAAAAAACGAGGATCAAATGGGACTAGCGTATGTTAAGTATTTAGCTTGGTGCCTGGCATACAATGTTAAAAGATCAGAAGTGTTAACTGTTGTTTTTATTAACTGAAGCATGTCACAACTGAGGAAAATAAGTGGAGTTCTTAAAATAGCCTGCTTTTGAAACAGCAGAACTGTCCTGTTACACTTATATATTGGTGTGAGAAGGAGAGTCTATGTGGGATAGCACTGTTGGTTTGCTTACATGGTACAGATTGAATAACGTTGACTTGTTATTTAAATAAGTAACAGACATTTCAGGAATAAGGTATTAAATAATTATCTTGCAGAAATATAGACATTTCTCAGAAAAAATGTATTGTGGAAGCACAGAAGTTCAGCACAGCTTCACATTAATATTTGTAGCTTCTGAGCTGGGACAGACTTGCCAGTGCGTACTTTAGATTTACGTTCCCTCCTTATGAGAAGAATTTCTTTGGATACCCATATTTTAATTTGATTTATCCATACATTGCCTTGTGATTGAATAGGAGTACGATCAAGTATTTATGGGAAATTCGATCTGTGGAAATCAGTGTGAGCGAGAATTTGAGCAAGATACATCTTTATGGCATGACTTTACCAGAAGCAAGCCCAGTTTTCTTTTTCCTTTTTTTTTTTTTTAAGTTTTTTAATTTATTTATTTGCCGGGGGGAGGGGAGAGAGAGAGAGAGAGTGTGGGGGGGGAGGGGCAGAGGCAAAGGGAGAAGCAGACTCCCTGCTGAGCAGGGAGCCCAACGCAGGACTCAATCCCAGGACCCTGGGATCATGACCTGAGCTGAAGGCAGATGCTTAACCAACTGAGCCACCCAGGTGCCCTGCCCAGTTTTCTTTAATAGACTTTTTTCTTTAGTAGTGAGCTTAATTTCTTAGAACTATAAAGCATTGTGATATTGAAATGGGGAGATACTGATCTTTGAGAAAACAGGGAAATCACTGTTTTGGCTGACCTGAGGAGGAGCGGGAAATCGTTCCCCAAGATACGAACCTGAGGAGAACACAGCTGCACTGCAGGTGTGTGCTGACAGGTTCACTGTGCAAACGTCCTTTCTGGCTGGCACCTTCTAAAATCGACGTGCCTTAGTTTGAGAGAGCAAATGGTTCTCTGAAGAGAAAACCTGATACTTACGTTCTCCATTTTTTTCTTTAGAAAACTAATCAGTTGAAGAATGATAATGCTTTGAGTAATACTTTTCTTACCAAGCATGTCTCTGACTTTATTTCTCTTAACTGGATCATAGATAGTAAGTATGAAAGCAACACAGTTTTCTCATGTTTTCAAAAAAGCTGCATTGCTATTGAAGTTCAGGGTCATTGCTTCCAAAGCTCAGCATGCATGTAGTGGAGGCAGGACACTAGGCAGAAGGAACGATTTTCTTCTGGGGAAGGGTAAATAGGTGATGAAGTTCATGTAACTAGGCAGTTTGAGATCTGAACTTTGAAGAGGCCAGATTTCCTGACTCTCCTAGTCTGGTGTCCATTTCAGTGTTGCACTGCCTGGAACTCTGTGCAGGGAAAATATGCTTATTAATCCCAAATGATTTGCTGAATGCCAGTCTCATCGCAGGTCCTGTACTAGGATGCTGGGGATACAAAGATAAGTGAACATCCCCATCCTCAAAGATCTCTGTATGGGGGTGGAGATTGACATAAAACAGACGACTTGTAACACCCTGTGGTGAGTCCCAGTGGTAAAGATAGGCATAGCGGGATATGCCCCAGCAGAAGGGGCTCTGAAGCCAGGCGGGGAATTCAGAAAAGTGAGGGGTAATCAGGAAAGGCTTTTGGAGGAGGTGATACTCAAGGTGGGTCTTAAGGAATGTGGTTGAGTTAGTTGCATTAAGATTTGTGTAAAGGCATTGAGGGCCTGGCCTAATTCAGGTTGTGAGAGGAGATGTGAGGCCATTCTGTTAAGGTAAGTATGTGCTTGGCTGAGGTTCGAGATGGTGAATACGTAGCAGTACTAGTTTGCACATTTGTGGTTTTTTAGCATCATTACTTGATTGCCTGAGTATGACATTATAATTAACTATTTTAACACTTCTATGATAGAAGATACTGTTAGTATCTTCTTAAAGCTAGAAAGAATTATAGCCTAAGTTTGTAAAATAATAAACCACACTTTTTCAAGTTTTAAGAAGTTGATTTGTATGGAGGTATAATTTGCATATAATAAAGTGCCAGGATTTTAGGTGTACAGTTTGAGCTTGACAGATACACTTGAGTAACTAGTACACCAGTTGAAATAGCATTTTCTGTTCCCTTCAGAGTCCCCCGTGCCCCTCTGTGATCAGTCTCCACCACACCAAAGTTACTGCTGGTCTCCTTTCTATCACCATAGGTTAGCTTTATCCCTCCCACAGCTTCATGTAAATGGAAAGTATATTTGGCTTCCTGTGCCGTGAGCTTCATCTATGCTGAGGCGTGTCTATTCATTTCTGTTCAGTCTGTTCCTTTTCATTGCTGAGGACGGATGTCCTTGTATGGCTGTACCACAGTTTGTGTATCCATTTGCATGATTTACATTTGGATTGTTTTTCTTGGTTTTGGCTCTTAGGAACAAAGGTGTTACGAAGTTTGTGTGCAAGTCTTCTTATGGATCTTTTGTTTTCATTTGTCTTGGATATTATAACCAATTTCCAGGCCATCAGGCAGATGTGTATTTGACTACTATAAGAAGCTGCCAGTTTCCCCCGGCAGTTATACCCTTGTACGTCCCCCTAGGAACACGAGAGCTGCTGCTTCACACCCTGACCAAACCTGATACTTTTTAATTTTAACATTTTTATTTGGTGTTCATTGTGGTTTTAATTTGGATTTCCTGATGGCTAATGATGCTAAGCATCTTTTCACATGCTTACCTGGCATCTGTATACCCTTTTGTGAAGTGTCTGTCTTGCTAGTTTTAAAATTAGGTTGTTTTATTGAGTTGTAAAGAGTTTAGCATAAATACCAAAATCAGAACTTCTGAGAGCATATTGAAATGCTGACCATTAGTATCCCCTCTTCTCTTGTTTTGTGATTTGTAGTGAAGATGGATAAATGCCACTGGCTCTGTGGTCTTCTCTCTCTCTCTTTTTTTAAAGCATATTTATACCTGGAAATTTTCTCTTGTTTTTTTTGAAGACATAGAGTCAGAGTATTTATTGCGTTAAAATATCACCATCTAGTGGTCAAAGAGTAACATTCTTAGGTACTATTAACTTTGTAAACATCTAATATTTGATATACATACGTTATCCAATGTGTGTGTATATATATACACGGATCTGTGTAGTAATGTGAATAGCAAAATATACACATATATAAATGTAAATAAAGCATAATGTAATGAACAATTCATGAACCCACTGTCTTACTGCAGAACCAAAATATTTTCAGTACTGTTGAAACTGCCTGCTTGTTCTTCAGTCCCATCCCTCAGTCTCCCATATGACATGTTACCTAGAAAAATATCTTTCTGACTTTCATCGTTTATACTTCTGATAAACGTGATCAGTAGGTTGATCAGATCCTTTGGAATTACCAGACTTACATGCTACCAAATATCCTGACCCTGTAATTCCCCACCACATTGCATTTTGGTACAGTATTAATGCTTTATATCAACTGAATTTTTTTTAAATGGAAGGGCAGAATCAAAAAGAATAGGCTCAAGCATTTAATTTTCATACTTTCCAAAAGGGGTCTGTTGGTGTGAGTGAGGTGGGTAAAACGAAGCTGCTAATAGCGGGCGAATGTGGCTTGCTCGGACAGCATTAAGACAGGCCCGCGCATTTTTGTTATTATATCATTTCAGAAGAGACCACACTGGGTGATTTTATGGATTTTACTTTTGAATATCCTGTCCAATGGAGAAAATGTGTTAAGGCGATAGAACATGGTTGTACAGGCAGAAAGCAGGTAGTAAGAAGTTGCAAGGCGTGTGGGTGTGCGCAGGCCGGCAGGCTGCTGTTCCTCGTGGCAGTGTTGCGCCCCCTACAGTTTGCACTGAGCACTGGCATCCAAGAACAAGGACGCTGCCTTCCTGAGAAACCAAATTGTACTTGGATTTAGAAATAGTCGTGTAATCTTTAACTTCTCCGTGTCTTAATTTTCACGTCTATAATTTTCTCAGAGTTGTGAGAATTAACAAGGAAGTGTGTGTGTGAGAGAGAGTTGGGGAATAGGAACAGTGCCTCACACAGAGTAAGAACTCAAAAAATTATAGTGATATATGAATAATGAGTAAAATATGGGACTTTGAGATACTTTGTAGTTTTAGAAATAGATGTCTCCGTCCCCGCCCTGATTATAATTACTTCTTTTCATTTTAGGATGCCTTGTTCTTCCTGAAGGATTTCTTCACAAGTCTTTCTACAGAAGTAGAGCTTCTAATGACTCCAGATCCAGAAGGTATTAAATATGTATAGTTTGGAAAAAGTCTATATCAAATACTTGGATTGATTTTGATTGTTATGAGGGCTTTTTGAGAGTGTACTTACAGTCTTTATTCTCATTTATATAAATGTGCTTTGTGTTTATTTTTTTATATTTTGCAAATGTAGTTTATGTAAGAGTAATAATTTAAAAGGTGGAAGTCAGTAGTCTCTGTAGCAGTTATTGTGTTTATTAAATGCAGCAAAACAAGTTAAATCCACATTAATTTTAAATGGTTGCTCTAAAGAAGCATTCATAATTTTTCAAATGCACACATTACCTTTTCAGTTAAAAAGTCTCCTGGAGCTGATGTCACCTGCAGTTTGCCAAGGCATTTAAGCACCTCCAAGGAGCCAAATCTAGTTCTTTCTTTTCCTGGGCCAAAGCAGCCTTCCCAAGATGGTGGTGCCAATTCAGTGGAAGTGGTTAATGGGGAGGAAGAGAAGGACTTCTCAGCTGGAGAAGCATCATTTAGTGATCAGCCGGTGTTTTTTAGGTAAATCACTTAATTTTGATAACACATGAAGTTATTTTAGCGTTTTGCAGGTTGATCTTTAATGTGTTTGTGTACCACCACTAATCATGAGGTTACTCCAGCTTTTCTTTGCCCTGCCCAACAGTAACTAGTGTCTTTATTTACACGTGGGCTCCACGTATCCTGCACCCCTTGATTACAGGTAGTAACGCTGGGTCAGGGCCATTTTCTCTGGATTCTGCAGCAGGAATGTCCTTTTCCTCTTAGCTTTGTTTTCCTCCTTCTGTGTCTCTTCCCAGCCACTGTTACGGCTTATTTGTACCTCCTCAATCAGGATGTCCTTTCCTCTTTTCCCTTACACACCTTGGCTTCCCTTCTCCAGTGTGGTCATTTTCTGTCTGGTGTTCCATCTGCCCTTCCCCATCGCTGTTGTGTCTTTCCTGACCCTTCACTCCCTGGCTCAGTCGGCACCGTCGGGAAAGGCAGGCCCACGTGCTCCTGCTATCCGCTGTAGCTCCTGCCCATGACTCAGCTAGCTGCTTGCACGCTGGAATTTATTCTCGGCTCCAGACCCATTCATTCTTCCATCATCTTTCCCGGCCCCTCATGGTGGGCATGGAGCCTTGGCTCCGTTGGAAGGAGAAAGAAGGAAGTTCTAAGCCACCTGTTGTTGTGAGGGACCGTTAGTTACTTCCCCTTGTTGTCCGTACTCCTGTTGACATCGATGGTCCCCAGATTCTGTCTTTTCAAGCTGACTTTAGGTTAGACTGTGGGTATGGCCCAAAGCGGGCAGTAAACTATTTAAAGTGCTTTCATATTTTTATATATCTTGAAAATAGAGAAAAAAAAATAACGATATGAGAATTGGAAAGATCCTGGGATAGATGATCTCTGGCAGTTGTAAAAGTTTCACCAGGAATGAAGAATCTCTTCTATTACTTTCCCACATTGATCTTTAAAATTTTTTTACTACCAGAAAATTGCATATCATAAGTAATAATGTGAATTCTCATTTTATATTAATCACACATGAACTCCTAGTTTGGTTTTTGTAAACACTGGATAGCCAGTCGAAAAGAAATTGAATTGTTAACAATTCTGGCCTGAAAGCAAAGAAATTTAACATTTCTTATTCAGCTTGTGTGGCCTCACTTAGGTAAATGTTTTTGGTTTTTTTTTATTACACTATTTAAAATTGCTATGGATTTCTGTTTCTACTCTTAAAAATTCCTAGAAGGCCTGGGGTGGTAGTCAGTGATATAGTCCAGTTTACTCACTTCACAGACGAGGAACTTTAGTGTCCAGAGAAGTAAGTTGACTTGCTCAAAATCACACGGTTAGTGGCCAAGTCAAGACTAGAACACAGGTCTTAATCCCAAATCTGGCGCATTTTCTAAGTGATGGCCTAATAGCCCCCAACCATTCCACAGATATTTATTGAGCTCTTACTCTGTGTATGCCAGGTTTTGTTCTAGGCACAGTAAACAAAGCCGAGAAAAATTCCCTGTATAATTGAGCTTACAAATAATTAAAATACATGATTTGCCATATTATGTGCCATGAAGAAAACAAAGAGTGAGAAGGAAGAGAACCAAAATGCCCAGGGACCCATGTGGAGATGTGTATTTGGAAGATGAGGGATGACCTGGGGTCCCAGGCTCCTGTAGTGATTGACGTTTAAATACAGCATTTCCATTTTGCTGTGGGTTAAATTCGACTTTTGTGGAATGGCTTAGGATATAAACACAGACATTAATTCTGTAGAAAAATTGTGTTTTAAGTCCAATTTACAGTCCAACTTTGGGAAGCCGGCTCCTTTTGTTTGATGTATACCATCAGCGTATAATTATGATTTCATTCTCACAGAATTCCCAATGCTTGTATGTTGATATCCTGTTTATAAGCATTAATTTCAAGAATTCTCACTCAAATTCACCAACGTGGGTGGCATTTTAAAAATTTACTAAGACGTTTAGGCTCAGAGTTTAAGTTCCTTGCCCATGATTGCATCACATATAACTGGTAAAACTGGGATTCGTGGCTGGCTTTTCTGGCACTTTCTACTTCATGGTGGAGCTGAAATAAATCCCTTACCTCTTCTCTTTTTTACTTCTTGGTAATGATTCTATTATTTGATTTAATCTTGAAGGTCACCTTTATTATTCTTCTGTATAAATTAAGAATATCTGCCAGAATAAATTTTTCTAAGGTAAACATTTAGTAAACTGGGAGGTTTTTTTGTGAGAAAATTTAAATAAAATAAATACAATGTATAAGATGATTAACATTAGTTGTTATATTATCTTAAGATAGAACTAAAAGACATTGCCTTTTATTTAGGTCTTGAGATATTCACATTATTTTGTGGTTTTGTTTTTATTATCCAGTTGAACAAATTAATTTATTTCTAATTTCAACTATTAGTACTTTTGAATATAAATAACTCCCCTCCTTTCTTTATCTTCAGAGAATTTAGATTCACATCAGAAGTTCCTATTCGACTTGATTATCATGGCAAACATGTATCAATGGATCAGGTTTGGAAACTTTGTATAAATATACTCTACAAAATTATCTCTTTCGTTTTTCTAATGGAGTTAATTTTTAAACTTTTTCTGTCATGGTTTTTATGTTTGAAGTGACATGCAAGATTTTAAAATTTAATTCTGTTTTTAAAGTAAACATCATTTACTTAACCTGTGAGTAAAATTTAGTGTAATTTGGGTCATATATATTAGTAAGTATGTATTTTTTTGATGTAAATACTTGAAGTGTTTTAGCTGCATAAGTGAATGAATATTACTTTGACTTGCCCAAATAACAACTACTTTAAATGTTGGGTCTCTCAGTTACACATTAATCTGGCTTTTTTTAATTTTAAAGGGTACGCTGGCTGGGATTCTGATTGGTCTGGCCCAGTTAAACTGCTCAGAACTGAAGCTGAAGCGGCTTTTCTACCGGCATGGGTAGGTCGATTTATACCATATGAGGCTTTATGGTATAGTGACTGTGATTAGCTTACAACAAATTGATCACTGACTTTTCTTAGCAAACATATCATTGTTTTACAGTATTGTGTGCAGAGAGCTTGTTTTTAGAGGAGGCTTACTGATTAGGGGCTACTTTTTATGCTGAGAGAGTAGTAGTTTGAACAGAGTAGTATTTTTCAAAAACAGCTATAGTTATTTTTTAATAATTTCCCTAAGTCATAAATTCATTTATTTAGCAAAAAGACTGGAAGTTCACAACGTAATGGTTCTTAGTGGCTGAGAACCATGTAGCAATTTATAGACATTGAGTTAATACTATGCTAGAGCTTTAAAAATTTTATTTATTTATTTATTTATTTAAGATTTTATTTATTTGTCAGAAAGAAAGAGACAGAGAACAAGCACAAGCAGGGGGAGCGGCAGGCAGAGGGAAAGGGAGAAGCAGGCTCCCCACCGAGCAGGGAGCCCGATGAGGGACTCGATCCCAGGACCCTGGGATCACGACCTGAGCCGAAGACAGAAGCTTAACCAGCTGAGCCACCCAGGCGGCCCAGATTTTATTTATTTGAGAGGGAGTGCGTGTGCACACACAAGTGGGGAGAGGGGAGAGGAAGAGCGAGAGAGAGAATCTCAAGCAGACTCTGTGCTGAGTATGGAGCCTGATGTGGGATTCAGTCTTACGACCCTGGGATCATGACCTGAGCTGAAACCCAAGAGTCTGATGCTTCACCAACTGAGCCACCCAGGTGCCCCCTATGCTAGAGTTCTAGATGTTCAAGAAATAGGAGCAGTGGAAGAACACAGTTATACATGTTACTGAAGCCTTGTAGAAATTACTAACATTAAACTGGATTATATATATGTGTACATATATGTGTGTATATGTACATTCAGATCGAACATCTATAATATTTTGTCCTTGTAATTGGTAAATTTTCTTTTGTCTTAAGTTAAAAAACCCCAGCTTATTATGGTAAACAAATTAAGTCAGTCAGAGAAAGACAAATTCCATATGATTTCACTCATGATGAACAGATGAACATAGGAGAAGGGAAGCAAAAATAACAGGGAGGAAGGCAAATCATAAGAGACTCAACTCTAGGGAACAAACTGAGGGTTGCTGGAGGGGAGGGGGGGGCAGGGGTTGGGGTAACTGATGAGCATTAAGGAGGACACTTGATGTATTGAGCACTGGGTGTTCTATGCAACTGATGAATCACTAAATTCTACTCCTGAAACTAAAAAAAAAAAAAAGTTCCCCCAACTTATCTGAACCTACGAATTTCTTTCTCTTTTCTGTATACTAATAGTCATTTGCTCTAGCTTGCTAGGTGTTGACAAATTGTTTTCGTATGCAATCACGGAATGGCTTACTGACATTAAGAAAAACCAGCTACCAGGAATCCTGGGAGGTGTTGGGCCTATGCATTCACTAGTACAATTAGGTGAGTTTTCTTTTTTAATCAAAAGATGATTTATTTTGCCTGATGTGTGATTCTTAACCCCTTTGGAGTTATGGGTGCCTTTGGGACAGTCTGTGTGAGGACCAACTTTCTAGAAAACTTCTGTGTGTGGTCATACACACAGGTAAGAGCACTTTGCATCCCATTTGAGGTTAAAACCCCGGGGTTAGAGTGCTAGCAGAGATCTAAGCTCCAGCACTCCTGCTGATTGCTCCGTGTTGACCGTTGTTCTAGTGCAAGGCCTAAAGGACTTGGTCTGGTTACCGATAGAGCAGTACCGGAAGGATGGCCGCATCGTCAGAGGGTTCCAGAGAGGTGCCGCCTCCTTTGGTACCTCAACAGCCATGGCCGCCCTGGAGCTCACCAACAGGACGGTTCAGACCATACAGGTATCTCTCCACCGACTGCCGTCCTCCCTATGGAGAGGAACGGTTCCTGCAAAATGGTCGGGGGTTTATGTTTTTAAAAAGACACTGTGAAATATACAGAACATTGAGAATAGATATCTTATTTATGATGATTTAATATCGTGGGGTTTTTTTTGAGTTTTTTGTTTGTTTTTATTAAAGAATTCGTAGAATAAAGCAGTGGAATCCAGTGCAAATTTGTGTTTCAGTTAATGTAACTGTTAAGTTAGTCAAGGATTTATTTATTTATTTATTTATTTTGAAAGATTTTTATTTATTTAATTGACAGAGAGAGACACAGCAAGAGAGGGAACACAGCAGGGGGAGTGGGAGAGGGAGAAGCAGGCTTCCCTCTGAGCAGGGAGCCTGATGTGGGGCTCGATCCCAGGACCTTGGGATCATGACCTGAGCTGAAGGCAGACGCTTAACGACTGAGCCATCCAGACACCCTAATCGAGGGTTTATTTTGCCTCATTTATATGAACAGATCATAGCTTAATGTGAAGGAAGCATTACAGATCAAAACAGACTTATTTTGTTAAGTATTAAACTCCAGTTGACCTTACCCAGTTGTTCACAGACAGGGCATTCTCGATTAACCTGGTAACGTGGAGAGTGTTCTCAGAGGGAGAGAGGAAGACTGAGAAAGTCAGCTCAATCCAGATACTAGTTCTTAACGTGCACTTTAATGTTCTTGGTATAAAAGTGCTAAGTTTTTGTCGTGAAGAACTCCCGATACCACAGACGCACCTGCATTAGGGCCTGCAAGTCCCTCTGTTCTTCCCGACTCCCCCATGGCAAGTGCATTGTTGGAGCAGAACTCTGCAGACTTTCTTCTGATTCATTTCTTACTTTCTGATCTTTACTAAATGATCCAGGCGGCAGCAGAGACTGCTTATGACATGGTGTCTCCTGGGACCCTTTCTAGTGAGACCAAGAGGATCAAAAGGTTTCCTCATCACCGCTTAGCCCACCAGCCAGTGGACCTGCGGGAAGGTGTGGCCAAGGCCTACAGTGTTGTGAAAGAGGTGAGTGCGTACCTGGGTGCTCAGGCCGGAACCAGCTGGCCCACTTTTCTGGCTTTTGTCGGAACAGTATTTTGTGGTTGGAAGCCCCTGCGAGTGGACTTGGAATTGCTACCAATAGCAAGTGCAAATGTCTGCATGAGGTCAGAGAAGAGGGCCAGGTAGTGATGGGCTCACAAGGAGAGTCGTGATCTGGAGGAAAGGTTGATTCTCCTCACGTGCAGAAGCCAGCCGGGTAATGGACACACGCACACGCTCGCACCACCCGGACGTAGCACGTAGTTGCCCTGCGCTGTAGTACTCAGCTTTGTTTAAAAGTACAACTTTTAAGCTGAATCACTCACCCTGATCCCGTTCCCATGCCTTCACTCTCCTGAAGATGGTACACATTTTTTGGTACATGTTTTTATAGTTTTACTGTGTATGTATTCATAAGCAACACATGCTATTGTTTATATTTTAAAAGTTAACATACATGGTGTCATAGGTATCACTGTGTAACGTCTGCCTTCAAGCTCTGTCCATGGTGATATATGTACATCTCATTTAAACTGTCTTACGGCATTTCATCGTAGGACTGTGGCATACTTCATTTTCCTATTGGTAGACCTTGTTTTCCCTAAACCACTGCTACAGCAATGTTCATATAAATGTCCCTTTGTTCATTTGTGCAAGAGGTTGTTAAGAATGAAGTTGGTGATTTGTAACTATCTGAATCTCAACATTTATTAAGCCTAATTGCAATTTAGTTGCACCAGTGAATCTGGTTCTTAATGGGCACTGTTGGGAGCATTCCCCGTTGTACTCTTTCTTGACAAAGTTTGAAGTGGTTTTACTCTTGATGCATGTATTAGGATTTCATTAAAGATCTTTTCCCCCGTCTATTCTGACAGGCACAAGTGCCTAGGATAGTCTTTTCCCTGACAAAGTGGCCTCTGTGGTCCCGAATGGTCGGGAGACCACTGAGGTAGGGCCCCGAGGAAATATATTAGTGGAATAAAGGCAAGACCACCTGCTTTTCTTAAAAGGAGACTTAGTTGGGAGAATAATTACTGGTCAGATCTGTTCCTATAGATGTCAGGATTGGGCCAGTTATCAGTAGACATGTTAGAAATCAGGTTTATAAAAATGATCCTGGGGTTCAGGGCATGGCAGGGGCCATGGGCTGCAGGATATAATAGCACTTGGAAATGGAGCACTTTGCAGTTTGCATAACACCTGTCTGATTTAATCTATATTCATTTGAAAAAATATTTGTGTGCTTACTTTGTGCCAGGTGTATAGCAACCATTAAAGGTAGGTGGTGTTCCTCACTTGCCCATGAGGACACTGGCTCAGCAGGAATGGCTCCCCAGTGTAGCTGGGCGAGTCAGTAGTGGGGCCTCGATTGGACCCTGGGTATTCGGGTCTGCCGTGCGGTTCTCTCTCTAAGACTTGTCAGTGTGAGCACGGATTGAGATGGTAGGGTGCGCTTGATTACAAGGAATCTGACTTCCGTGTTCAAAACTTTTTAAATAGAGGCTCTTTACATGGTGATAAATGTGTCTTTTCCCTTTTAGATGTTAGTAAATCAAAGATGGAGAGAACACATTCCAGCTGGTTCACAGATTGGCTCCTCTAGATCCTGGCTCGGCACGCTGTGACTTCTAGGTCACGTCTGGCTCAGGCCTGTTTTTGTGTGGATCTACCAGCTCAGAATTATTTTAACAACTTGAAAGTATTGTAAAAAGGAAAAAAAAAAAAAAAGCATATACGATAGAACCTGTGTGGCCCACAAGTATTTGCCTTGTGCTGGCTGACCCCTGCTTCTGTTGTTCCCCTGGGTGGGAGGCTGGGGGCTGTGGTGGGGGCAGCGACCGGGGGCCAGGGCCTGCTTCGTGAGCACAGAGCGCCAGTCTCTGCGGGTGTCTTGAGCCAGTGAAGTCTGACAGTCACCACAGACTTTCTCCCCCATTGAAAGGACTTGACTAGCAACAAAACAAAACAAAACAAAGAACGAATAAAAAAAAAATACTTGGCCAAGGTAAACACACTGAAGTGATAGAGCCGAGATACGAATTCACTTCTTTGACACGGTGGTGGCGCTCACTGGGTTGTAATCGTTAGAACCTGCTTATTGTCTGCAGGCTAGGGAGGGTGGCTGAGAGAGGAGACAGAAGGATGCAGGCACAGGTGGACCAACTGGGAGCGTTTTCTTTATTGTCACGGTTTCACTTGATAGTTTTAAAAACTGCACTTGTATTTGTTTTTAGTTCTCCTGTACTTTTCCTCCCCCTACAGTATTACATGTTTACCCTGCCGTGCCAGGTAGAAATGATACGCTTGTTAGCTGGTCAGAGTGATGGCTGGATTCTGGGTTAGGACAGGGTTCCTTGATTTCCCTGGAGAGCCCAGAGTGCCTTGCGCTTTCCCCTCACTGAACCGGTCACAACGGAACAGTGCCTTGTGTCCCCTGCGGGATTTCTGAGTTAGACAAACAGGTTTAAAAGTGGTGTGAAGCTTTACCACTTTGGCTTGATCAGCACATTTATATATTCAGCTTTAAAATGTAGCAATCATGATTATTTTAATGTTACACAGTTATAAGAATCATGAAAAAATGCTACAGAAACTTTTAAATTATTAAACATGTTCCTGCTTTGTTTTCAGAATTTTTTCTATTTAAGCCAATCCTTTTATCTTAATTGAATGTTCCACAATTATCTTTTCTAGTACATAGATAGTAATTTAAAACAAATAATTTTCTGGAGCTGTGTAGAATTAGGTTTTCTTGTTACAGTTGACTCAAAGGAGCTATCACCGTATTCCTTTTGTGATTATATTTATTCCAGAAGCTTTATTTGCTAAGTTTGATTTAACTAGATGATTAATAGTGCCAGGAAAGCTACTCTTAGATCATTAAGTAGTTCTTTAAGCTTCCCTACGTGAAATGGTAGCTTAGCTATATTTTCTACATACATGTGTCACAACAAAATGCTAAATTATAACAATTGCCTCTTATTTTCCCTATAATTACAATTTTGTCATAAATATAATTATCCTGGGTTATCTCAAAAGCACAGTAGGTTTTTTGGTCTGGTTACAAGCATAATGTTGATGTACTCTGCTAAAGTTGTATACAATAGGATAATTTAGAGATTTTTCTGACCTTCTCTCCTCTCCCCCTTTCAGGGACTTACAGACACGGCTCAGACAATTTATGAAACCGCAGCTCGAGAACACGAAAGCAGAGGGGTCACTGGCGCCGTGGGCGAGGTCCTGCGCCAGATTCCTCCTGCAGTGGTGAAACCTCTGATTGTTGCCACAGAAGCGACATCAAATGTATTAGGTGGCATGAGAAACCAAATTAGACCAGATGTTCGGCAAGACGAGTCACAGAAATGGCGCCATGGGGAAGACTGATATTTCAGATGCAATTCTTTATGGAGATAGTGAGGGTGGAAGTAAGGAGCATAGTGTCCCATTGGCAGCTTTAGAGGGTACTCATTTAATTTTATTGTGCTCATCTCAGGAACAAAAGCATTTCTTAGTTAAATAATTTAATATCAAAGCAACATGCAACCAAAAACTTGTGACATTTTAGGGCTAGTTTGGTACTTGCCTCGAGAAATGTTTGGTAGTCAGTGTCAAAAGTTCTTAAGCGTTTGCTGCCAAGTGAGTGGAATGCTTGCTTTTATTAAAATGGCTGTAATTCTCCTTGCTATGGATGAGAGATCATTGGAAGCCTCCTGTTACAGTACAGAGTGCTCAGAAACTTTGAAAGTGCACTTTGAAAGCACTGTTTATGTTGCCCTGAGGAGTTGATTTTTCTCAAGGTTTAAAAAGAATCACAGCTTCGAAACTTTCATTGAGAATGAGAGACAGAAGCTACAGGGAAAGCAAAGCAAATAGGATTTTAATATAAATATCCCTGAGGAATAAATAACCTAGTCTGTTGGATTTAGTGTCCGTGCACTTGAGAACATTTTTTCCATTCCCTCAGAAAATCTTGTCTGTGGGTGTTGAGAACGTGAATGTCGCAGACATGTTCTGTTTTGTTGCACTTTATTGTGTGTGTGTGTGTGTGTGTGTGTAGATTAATACAAGTCATGTGATCTATTCGTTATGTAATTTACAGATTTTTCACAAAATATAAAGAGGAGTAAGACTGAATGTTTTTGGCAAAGGAAGCTAACTCAGATGTAGTAACTTCCATTTATTTTAAGTGTAAATGAAAATGTGCATTCTATAATGTACTGGGGCCCATATGATTTATATGTTCACTTTTCAGCAGATATAGTGCAAGCTTGTTAGAAATGTGTGGAAAGGGAGATTGGAAATGATTTTTACTTTTCTGAAATTAACCAAAAATCCTCCAAATATGCCCTAGTAAGCTATTTCGAAGTACCATTTTTACTTGGTTAACAGTGTACATTTTGATAACCTGTCAGGAATGAATAAAGTATTTTTATTTAAAGGTAAAATTGTTTTATGCTTCCATGAACATTTTGCTTTTCTTAGAGCATATTCATAGATGGGATACTTGGATCCATCCCAAGATACTTGGGAATACTTTCTCGAAACTGATTTTGGTTAATATCAAGTAAATCATTACCTAGGAGTAAGAGGAAAATTGTTCACAAGGACTCACTTTTTGACTTTAGGTGAATCTCGTAGAAAAAATGCAGGACTTTGTGTTCATCCACTGATGTGATATGAATTTTCATTTTCTGAAGTGGGGAGAATGCCGTTCACATGAATTTACATGATGTGAATTTTCATTTTCTGAAGTGGGGAGAATGCCATTCACATGAATTTGGATTTCAGAACTACATTTCAGGTTGGGGTTTGAAAAATGATGTTGAATCGATTCCATTCTCTAGATTTTCTGAACAAGAAAGCAATGTAAGCCAAACATCTGGACATTTAAAATTTATGAAAACTGTGTTAAACAGCATTTAATTTTTGTTTCCTTTTTATTGCTGAAAAAACTTAAGAAAGGCACTACTCACAGAACCATCTGTTACTCTTTCCCAATTAAATGGATTCCATGCAGAATGTGATCCTGAGTAAACAGTAGCCACGCCCGTGCATCATCGAGAAGGCTTAGCCGGCTTTGGGGGCACCTTCTGACCGCCCTGCTCGCTGACCCCAGGATGCTCCATGCATCCTTAAAACAGAACATACCATGTCTCTTATTTGTGATGATTAATCAAACTGCAAAGCCCTTGATCAACTTAAAAATATAAAATCTCTAATTTTAAAATATATTTTCCATAGTCACACTATTTAAGGTCAGTTAGATATAGTCTAGGGAGAAATAATCATCGTCTTCTTTGCACTCCTGAGTTGCAGATAGACCCATCTTTTGACAAATTTGGTTGTAAATCCTAGTGTAACATGTATCTTCATAATGTCATTTCCATGGCTCTCTGTGACCACAGAATCTGGGTTTGGGAACCAGAAACCTGCCTCAGAAAGGCCCAGTATCAAGGCTCTGTTCATTGCCAGTTTAACCAAGATGCTCTTTATTTGAGATGTTTATGTAGACTGTATTTGAACACTTCTGCATTATTAAGCGTCCTCAATTTTTTATTTCTTAAAAATGTCTTTTCCAACCTTTATGTCACAGCGACACAGTAAGGAGGGCGTTGGGCACGACCCTTGGGCTGCCAGATCTGCCCTCACTTGGCAGGTGACTTGGCCAAGGCATTAGATTTCTGTAAGCCTCAGCATCTGTCTGTAAACTAAGGGGTTTTGTATGACAAAGCCCAACCGAGATTTTTGGATGATCAGGGTGTGTGTGTGTGATCAGGGTGTGTGTGTGTGTGTGTGTAGGGTGTGTGTGTGTGTGTGAGAGAGATCAGGGTGTGTGTGTGTGTGATCAGGGTGTGTGTGTGTGTGTGTTTTGGTAGACTGCCCCATGTGTGTGTGTGTTGTTTGGTAGATTGCCCCAGACTAAGGGGTTTTGTACAACAAAGCCCAAAAGAGATTTTTGGATGATCAGGGTGTGTGTGTGTGTGGTGTGTGTGTGTGGTGTGTGTGTTGTTTGGTAGACTGCCCCAGACCTGTGACACCCCGGGCTGGGGGTGCTGGAGAGCATGGAGGTCACACCACACACGGTAGCCACGGGCTCCCTCAGATCTTGGATCTCTGAGTACTGCATTTCTGAGCGGCCACTGGGCCTGTGTGGTTGACTTTGATGAGCTATCCTGCATGGAGTAGACGGTGTGTGTCCACGTGTCGCTGCCCAGAGGCCGTATGGGTGTGTCCCCAGCGAGTCCAGGTGAGCAAGCCTGACCAAGATCCGTCAGCGAGTTTTAAGACCACAGTGTTACAGAAGCATGTGAAGACCACTTTATAAAGGCAGCGATACTTCCTCTTGAATGGGGCTGATGTGCATCCCATTTCCCTGTCTGTTCCCACATTGCTATTATTTACCAGTAGAACATTCCCTTTTAATATCTGCCTTTTAGGACAGACATAATACAGCCTTTCTTCTAGACACAGCAGTAAACTTTGACTTTAGTGAAGGTTGGGTCCAGTTTGGATTCCCACTTTAAGCACATATATTTCACATCAATATTTTTATAATCTAAGACTCACTTTAGGGAATCTTTCCAAGTCCCAGTGTGCCTAGAATAGCAAAAATACTAAAAACTGATGTTTCCTGCCTCCTGCTGTGTGTCACTTTTAAATGGTATTAAAATATTTCCAGGAAAAATGTTTAGTTTTTAATCCTCTCCTGTAAAAACCGTGTTCTGTAGGTTTGGTGCCCTTGCTCAGTTTCAAAACCATCTAGGCAGCTCTGTGGGCTGCTGTGCAGGGGCCGCTGGCCCAGGGGCGTCGGGCCTGCCTCCAGTGTGTTCAGGTCGGGTTCTGTGCACTGTGTACTCTCCCCAGAGTGGGTGGACAGCAGGCGGTGTTGACTTGGCAGCCGTGTTAAATGAGAACTCTTCACTACATGGTTTCAGGGTTAACAACTGTCGTGACATTCATTTAAATCCTGTAGATGTGAAAAGCTTCGTGACTTTAATCACTGGCCTTTGCTTCCCTTTTCTTACACCTGCATTGGGTAGAATTCCTCAGAATTACAGGGAGGAGTGTGGCAGGGCTAGTGTTCGTGGTGAGCAGTCACTCCCGTTTCCCCTCACATCCTCTTGACCTACTGAAGACATGAGGGCCAATGTCTGTAAAGTTCCTTGAGCTTGAAAGTAAGGGACTGTCAAAAGCAAAGTGATACTCTTTTGTATCTGCAGACGCATCCATCCACTGGACATACCAGTTGGTATCATATAGAATAAATCAAATAGAAATTTGTGCGTCTTAGCTTTAACTAGGAAGGCTTCTTGTAGAGTGTATAATATAGGGGGGAAAATCTTCTGTCAAACAATCTTATTTCTGTTTATAGGAAGGTATAGTCGGTCTTTCCATAGAAGCCTAGTTGTGCGCTTTAGTGCCAACTTCCTTTTATCTCCGTATTTTGGGACCATGTAGGCGCACCACCCCCTTTAGCAGACCTTGTAAGCTTACGTGGGGAGTATTTTCCTCAATCCTGTTTATGTACATCAGACACAGAAAAGCTCTTCTAACACACCAGTGTCATGGGCTGTCTTGGGGATGAGAAATTTGAGTTTCAACAATTCACGCTGAGAGGTCAGCAGTTTTCAAAAACATCGGGGTCCGGGATTTTTGCCTCCCATCCCAACTGTGGCCACCGTGGTTTCGAGCGTGTGGCTCAGTGGGAAGCACCAGAGTGCGGGCTGCTGTGCGACTCGGGATGGCTGAGGGGGTGGCCGTGGCCTGGGTGACCCCTCCGGCGCCGTGGGCGGTGGAATTAGCAGCCCTCCCTTTAAGAAGCGTGTTCACTTTGCTGTTTGACTCGTGTTGTGCATACATGAAACGGCAGCTTCCAGCCTCGGGGTGGGTTTCCTAAGCGGCTGGGGGCGCAGGCCGCACTCGTCACTTTTCCACTGTGGACCGTGGTGGAGGGGGGGCGCCGAGTTCGGCTCTCCTGCGAATCCCTCCCGACTTAACCTTGGACATGGAACTTAATCTCACCACAGTGTTGTATGCTCCTTGCTGAGTTCCCTAGTTTCCCTACTTAATTTTGGATGTGAGTACTTTAAGAACACTACTGCTGTATGAGTCTTTTTGTGGAAATGTAACTCGTCCGTGTGACTATGGAAAATATTATGAAATGGAGAGTATGCTTGAAGAAAATTAAAATATTTACTCTTTGGAGTTTGGTTTAAACACTATTGTGTTTCGCCAAGAACGGGTCCCACGGCCTGTACAAAACACTTCTCAGGGTGGGGCTCAGGTCTGTGGCAGATCCTGTTACTGAGACCCCGGTGCTGGTGACGGCAAATCACGAGTCTACCTGCCGCCCGTTTCTGAGCTGCACGGGGCATGTGATGGTAAAGCTTGCCACTCCTACCCCCTGCAGGGTGTTCGTCACTCTTGTTATCTCAGCCCTGCAGTGTGGACTTGTGACAAACATACCTTCTCGTGTCAGTCTGAGGGACCTAGATAAATACCTGATAAGTCTGCTCTATATGGGGGAATGTTTTTACTTGTAAAAGAGATTTTATTTATTATTTTGGGGGGGCAGCAAAAAGCAAAGTTTATTAAGCGATAGCAAAGTGATAGTACAAAGCTCCTGAGGAGGTAGGGGGGACCTGAGAGGGTTGCCCTGAAAGAGAGATTTTAAAGGAGTACTTTTTAAAGATTTATTTATTTATTTATTTTTAAATTTTTGACAGAGATACAGCGAGAGAAGGAACACAAGCAGGGGGAGTGGGAGAGGGAGAAGCAGGCTTCCCACGGAGCAGGGAGCCCAACTCGGGGCTCGATCCCAGGACCCTGGGATCATGACCTGAGCCGAAGGCAGACGCTCAACGACTAAGCCACCCAGGGGCCCCCTCCCCCCCCTTTTTTTTAAGATTTAAAAAATTTTCTTTAATTTTTTGACAGAGAGCAAGAGAGGGAACACAAGCAGGGGTAGTGGGAGAGGGAGATAAAGGAGTACTTTTAAATCAGTCCTTTAAAAGAGGTTTTGATAGGACAGGTGTCACTGTGAAACCACTCTGAGCTATCAGGGAAACATCAGGGCACACTTCACACATGGCTCTTCTGATGGAGGGATAGGAACCTTTGTGGGGTGCTTGCTGCCTGCCGGGTGTCGGGGTGCGTGGGTTCTTTCTGTAACCTCAGGGCCCCTCGGAGAGGCAGTTGGTGCTGTCCCTGTTTTCCAGAGAAGTCAAGAACCTTGCTGTGGTCACATGCTGTGACTCCCAAACCCCATGCTCATCCTAGGACGTCATTTAAGGGGAACTTGCACAGTTGTCTGAATTAGTGAAAGCTCATCACTAATTAGGAAACTAAGAGGAATTTTGCTAAAAGATTAAGATTCACGATTCTTAGAATGCTTGAGCCTAAGGCAAGAACAAACTTGCTTCTGCATCTCTCACCTGC